TACATTATTTTATGATAGCTTGATCACATATAAAATTGAAAAAGTATTTCATGTAAAATAATGAATTAATTATTTATTTAGTCCAAGAAATTATTTTTTATAACTTAAGTTTAAGTTATATTTTTTGACTACTATTATAATTAAGTAAGATCAAAATATATGGAAATAAATAAAAAATACCTAGGAGAAATACCTTTGCTGGATTAACCTTTCGCAATTGAATGTTCGGATCTATTCCCTTCTGCACTAATCGAGCAATTTCTCCCATGTTATTAAGGGAAAATGGGAATGTTTGCAAGTCGTTGCGTTCCCAAAACGAGTTTCTCATAGACGCCATTGAATTTTAAATAAATTTGTACCGTCTTGACCATGGAACTCATTTCATGACTGCAAATTATACTATAAAATCTCAATTACAATATTTTTCTCGCTAATATTATATATGTGAATGCATGTCTGTTGACGTACGCTTAGCTATACCCATATGCTATGTACATATCTGTACCTTAGGAACTTAAACTACTGGCTGATTTTAAATAAATTTTATACAATGCGTTTTTTGCTTCTTAGAACATAATAACTATGAATAGAAAGTAATTATCTTTCTTAATTTACTTTATATTACTTACTTCAAGCTTTGTGATTATTACAAAGAAGGATGTAAGTGATAATTTAAAATACTATGAAACAAACGATATTTCCCCGGGGCAACGTTAATGTTCCGGTGGTGGCGTTCGTCCATTCGACCGAATCTCTGGAAATTAAGGCAGGAAAAAAGTCAATAAATCCAAGCAAGCTGGGGCAGATAACGAATGTCTCTAGAGCGACGCAAACCAGCTGGAAAATCGTAGGAGCTTGCTTGTGTTAATGTGACACTAAGACCTCCGAGCCTATGAAGGGTAAACGGTATTATCCATCATTTTGCGGCCCAATTTCTTGAGCTTATCTCTGAAAAAATATTTAAAGAATATCTTCGGTTCTTAAAATGTGCCTTTTATATGGGTAAGCTATTTCTTATTAAATATCTTTCTTTTTAAATATTTTGTCTATTACTGACTTATTTTTTTAAAGTGACAAAATTAAGTGAAAATACATATTTTTATCACTTTTAAAAAACGTATGAAGGCAAAAAAAAATTAAGTGCTCATAGGTCGCAACTTCTTGAAGATTTTGAAATGTTATAAAGTAATTAAATTGTAGAGCAATTATCGGAGCAACGTGGACGTCGACTGGTCCACTAGTAGAAGTTGGTCAACTAATCCAAGTTTTCCCGTACGGACTAATGAGACGAGTTTGATTCGAATTCCCTGAACATTGAGAAAGTAGGTAGACTCTTTTAGTACTCCAATCTTGCTATTACTAATTCAGATAGTCTAGGTATAAATGCTAGTAATCGAACTAAATTACATTTCTGAGTATATTAAAAGTTGTAATAACTAATATTGGTTAACTTTTTAGATTCTTGTTGGACGAACTTGAATTCTATTTGATAATTGGGATATTTTTTTTACTTCCAAGTTTAATATTTAAGATATTTTTGTATCATAAAAAGAATCGATTCCCGTGGAATACGAAAATTAATATACGGTTTTCCATGTAGCTAATAATATATAATTATTGTTATAATCTGCACATTGGTCCCCAGAAACTCCTTCCCCCTTTTATCAGTAAACATCCCTCAGGTATAAAGAATTATTGAATGTAAAAAGCTACATATAATATAATACTTATTTTCATACTGCAAAATAAAGTGTTTTATTATCGAAAGTTAAAAATTTACGTGAAAACATTCGGTATTTACTCACTTGAGTTCAAGAATGGAGGAGATTATCAGTTCAGGTGTATATTCTTTGTTTGTTTGGGTCGCCTTATATCTTGGACTACTTGTGAACCGATTGTAATAATAATTTTTTTAAGGATAAATATATAAAAAAATTAAATATATATCTTAAAAGCTAAAATCATTTATTTTAAGGTGATTTAAAGTCGATGTAATTCAAAGATATGTAGTAATATAACATTATAGAAGCGTAGAGACATTAACCTGCGTCAAGATTTTCCCTAATTTGTATCTCAAGTAGGTATGTTTCTTTCTCAACCATGTAATTGAAGTCGCAGGTTCAGCTAAGTTAAAATTAATGACTATAAGGAACATCTATATTCACCTAAAAATCTAAAAAAATATATTAGCATGGATTATTTATTAATGAATGAAGACCTCGTACAAAATCCACTATATTAATTAAGCGTCAAAGCATTATATAAAAAAGCGTCAATCAAAAATCAAATTATTAAATTATTTTATAAAATATAGGAAATAAATTGCATAAAATTTTGTTTACACAATGTTATGATTATTGTTTTAAAGCATTCTTGAATTAATCGTAAAATCGAAACAAGAAAATTAGATATCTAGACATACGCGATGGCGCCACAAGCAGTATTTAGATACAGAAGCTAAGACTGGAGTTGGAAAATTATCGTTCAGGCATGTTATCTGTTCGTAGTAGTATGTAATAGCAAACGTACACAAACTTATGAAAACGTAGAAACCCAAGATAAATAATATATAGCTAGGTAAATTCTACAAGGAAAGGTTGTTTGATTGTATTGGTAGAAATCCAGTTGTTATCGTAAGCTATTACGAGTATTATTAGAAGGTCATTATAATTTAATGTTAACATAAGCGAGATACAAACAAGTACATATTAATTATTAAAGCAAACGAAAAATATTTAAAAGAAATATAGTATGATTTGAACTACCAAAAATACACTCTACGCGTCCTTCTTTAAGTCATTGTTTACGATATAGCCGCTTATATGCTACCAGAAGTATCTATTGTACCAGGATAAAAATGTGCTATGTCCACCTCTTCTTCATATACTGATAAACCGCACGCAATATACTGATAAACATATATTTTTACATTAACAGTTTTGATGAAGATAGTACGACAATAATCAACCCAATTACATAAAATCATTAACATGATGTCCTCTAAAAGAGAATTTATTCATTAGAAAGTTTCTTAACTAATTGATAAAACAGATCTTCCATGTTTATTGCTCCGCACGTCCACAAACAAAGCGTTTGGCCTCCGTAATGGAAATTACATACCCTGAGGTCGGAAATCAAATTGACAGAAGAGGTTAAACAAACGATGTGGTCAGGGAGTCCAGACCGTGGTCCGTCGAATATTAATCGGTGGGTAAATGCGCTTTTATTTGTTTTTCCCTTGCCCCGTTAGCACACCAGCCGTCTGGCCAATGGATCAAGTTAACACTCAGCTCGAATAATCGAATAGTAGTAAATCGAGTTAATAGTAATAATGCCCCTAATGCAGAATCTCGCAATATGGTATTTAATTTAAGTACGCCACATTTTAAATTGATTCGTAAGTCTTTAAATCGGGCATCTAGCATTCCAGAAGACATGTATGTCGCCATTTAAAAAAAATCTTTAATAATGATAATTGATTTTACATTTTTTTACTTTATTATATAATATACAATTAATAATATAATATGTTTAGTGTTTACCATACTCAGCTATATTAAAATTATAAGCACACATAGTCATTCAAATTCATGAATTTATTAATTTCTTATAGATTTTTATTATTTTTGGCAACCGTGTTTATGGATTTCTGATCTCGCCTTTCCGACTGATATGGAATATTATGCATAGCTAGCGACTTACCGTTGCTTCGCTCGGTTGCGTCCGGAAAATAATTATTGCGAGTGTACTTTAGGTGCTATTGCGGACCGTTCAGTAGGCCTTTTTAAGACTTAGATTTTTTTAGTAAATTGTTTCGATATATCACTTAAGGTTTAATTAGCGTTAGCCATGTAAACTAAGAATAACTGAACAGAACCAGCTATTGTGTTTTCCAAAGGGAATGAAAGATTTTCAAAAGTAGCATAACAACAATTGTTCATGTTTATGGATAAAATCTCATATAATCTTACTTTAAATAGCCTTACCGATAAATGAAATTCAACTTAAGTCATATTTTTCTGAAATACAAAGTTTTGAGGTAACATTAATGTAACATTCATATAACATAATATACGGAATAATAAAACACTAATATTATTTCCAAATACATTCCAATACATTCAAAGGAGTTACTCGTATGTCCTTTGAGGTTAAATAATGCTTATTACTTCTGAGGACTACAGCTGTCTACAAGTTTTTTTGATAAAAATAATATAAAGATAATCAATCTATGACATCAAGGAGATCAGAACCGAAGACCATCGAATATTAATCGGTAGATAAATGTACTTTTATTTGTCTTACCCTACAGCGTTAGCAATCCAACTATCGGGCTAATAGATCAAGCTAACACTCGGTTCAAGTGATTAAATGGAGGCGAAAGTTGGAGTATCGAATTCATGCTTTTATTATTGACTTTAAGAGAAGAAATTCTTAACTTGCAAAGTTTGTGTTGAATTATGAAGATTGGAACTGGAACTGACAACCCTGTAATATATATATATATATATAAATAAATATATATATTATGTGTGTGTGTGTGTGTAAAACTGTTGGTTTTCCACGCTATTCATATAAAGAAATTGCGTAGATAAGAAAAAGGTTATGAAGATTAAATTGTTTAACAGGTACAAAAAAAATTTGTACATTAGATATAAAATAATTATTATAGAATATAAGATAATTATTATAGAATATAGATAAATAAAATATCAGATACAAAGATAATGAACTGTCGTGGCTACTAACAGATCAACCAGTGGCTTAGCGATAATGTAATTGAATTGTACTAGGAATTCCAATTGATATATCAATGGTATACATAGATGGCGAGCTATGAGTTTTATTTTTCTTATTACTCTAAATTTTTGTACAAAATTTCAGTAAATAACATTTTACTGTATGAAAAATAACTTTTAATATCATTTATTTTTAAAAGTAAATAATAACACTAAAAAGGTTTAAATTATTTAATAACCTAAGATAACTCTACTGTCTTAATATTTGCTAGTAGAACCGCTGTCATCTTCATCTCTGAAAGCTTGATAAATGACGTTCTCTCGCAGAAAGTTTTTGCAATGTGATATCAGCTGAAATGTAATAAACAAGAAGTTACCTTTACATGAAAAATCTTTCGGATTTTCATATAATGATAGGACATAAATATTTAAATATATAATTGTACCTCTACGTGCTGATCTTTGGCCATTTTATTTAATCTTTTTATTTCCATCTTGAGATATGTATCATCTTCAAAACGCCTGTCTATAGACCAAGAACCCTTACTCATCACAATAGGTAAAATATATGGATATCCTGAAATTATTTGTTCATATTTTATTACTTTGTGAATTCTAATATATGTATGTAGTGCAATTTATACATAATGACAACTTGCATCTTTCTTTACTTTCCTGAAACAATGGCATCGCATAATGGATGCTCCATCTTAATCAAATCGGGACGAGCATGTGTTCTCACTTAAGACCTTTAATTATTATGAAATATAACATCTCTCCGTCTGTCCGAGGATTAACGATCCGATTTACATAAATCTTTTTACAGTATTAAAATACCTACATCGATTATATATCATCTGATATCTCGACACCAGATTTTATCGTTACGTTTAAATAAATTTAGTTTTTATAAGAAATTTCAGGATATTTCGGGTTTCCGAGATGTTTGAGGGTGAAGGTCATCATATGAAAAATCATTAAAAAGTAAACCAATTATATCTTAGTGTCATAGAAATATTAGATTCCCATAGAGCTTTTATAGACCAAACCTATCAGTTTCATCTTGAGCTGCGACTTTATAAAAACATTGAAAAAGTAACGTGTGGTTAATGCCAGTTTCCATAGTAAAATGTTCAAACCTTTCTTATTTTAACATTTATACATTTAAAGCATCGTAATGAACTATCCGTTTCTATATTAGAAAATTCTACGGAATAATTGCCTGTAAGGCATTTCTGTTCTAAAATCGGTTTATACTGTAGTATTATTATATTTTAGGTACTATTTTAACACCTTCTTTTCTTTCTCTAGAATGAGAAATTCAAAAAGGGTAGTCAAATTTGAAATGGCTAAGTAAACAACTGAAGTATTTACCATAAATATCCATAATTTCAATGAATAATAACATCAACACCTAATGATTTGAAACACGCCCTAAGATAAATCTCTATTCAAATAAATCTTACTGCTAATCGGAATTTACCTTTAATAGTTCCAAGTGAGCCGTCACTAATGACGCCCATGTTTGTGTAAACTTTCGTAACGTCGTCTTGAATACGCGTTAACCAAATGTCTCTCAAAGTTTTGCTAAATTCTGCCGCCCTATAAATACATCCGTAAGGATTCTTCGACGCAGATGACGCCACCTTTTTACATAACTTTATTGATATTAACCTGGATTTATAATTTAATGTTCTATATTATTAAAAACTTAATGGCTGTAAGTTTTTATATCACTGATGTTTATTAAAAAATACAGAAGCTAAGAGGTTAGATCCTACCTTCATCTAAAATGTGTATAGCGTGCGGATATAAACTTTTATTGAATAAAAACTGGGAGTCTGATGAAATACAAGTTTACACCCGTAGGCAAATAAGAATGAATACCAACATATTCAACTAGCAAAAACCTACGACTTCATTCGCTTCTATAAATTAAACAATTAAAAGGTCATGGTAATTGTGCTAAAACTAACACATTGAATTCCATATAGTATTTTGGTAATTCGTAAAAACATCAAAGCTTATAAAGCTTACTAAGCCAATGGCCGAGTTTTGAGGATACCATTATTTATTTTTAGTTATAGATTTTAGTAATCTTCGTATTGTTAAAATGTGTTAAAATAAGATATACCTAGGTATATCTACGGAAACCCACATTTCAACCATCCTTTTTATTATAAATTTGAAAAATTATCTGTATCTGTATATTCACGCAGCAATGGTTTGACGCGTTATATATGCTATAAAGAGGTGGTAGGGTGTATTTTATTCTGGTATATCAAATTGTTAAAGTGAGATATTTCAATAACCACTAATATTACCTTGTTTGTGTTTCTAACCGTCGACGTTACAGTCAGTCACACGTATTGTAGTTATCAAAGTAATATGGTCTAGAATTAATCTTTACCTCGGTAACTTTTTATATGTTGTTTATTTTCTTCGATCTGAGCAAACTATAAGGAACATTTTATCACAGATTTTCTAGCCTTACTGGAATTAAAACGTTCCGAATACCTTTTCAATAAATTCCTTTTTCATCCACGCGGCACTGAATTGCGTCGAATCTAAATTCAATGATTCTAAAAAATCTTTTCTGATCATATCAGACTTGCAATGAAAGTCATTGATAATTAAAGGCTTCTCGACCTCGACATGAAATACTTCGTCGTTTGCAGCCCAGACAAGTACGTCATTAATGACGTCGCATTGAACCTAAAAGATAATTTCAATACAAAATAGTACTTTTTTCACCAAACTATTAGGCAACTCGCAACCGCCTCCGACGTCACTCATCTCTATTTTTGTAATTTCACTCTCGAAAAATATTATTTTCCTCACAATTTTTTATCTACTAGCTGGTCCAAAGCTTACAAAAATCCTTCCTTATATTGGTTATGTTAGGAATTTCTTGTTTAATGTGCAAATTCATGCTTTTATTTATGTATTAAATGTCAGCCAGTAAATAAATAATTCAAGAATTTTATTAGGTTGAGAAACAATGAACTTAATGAGATTTTAAATTGGCAATCAATCTCCATATTTTTAATTTCAAAAAAATAAGCTTTCATACAAACTTTTATTTTATCTTAGGCATAACTTTTAAGTCCTTCATTATAACTATAAAGAACTCCTAGGTAAAATTTCAGACTTTTAGATTCATCGGTTTTAGCTGTACGCAGATAACCGTCGTGCAGTTAGAATTTTATTAAATAGATAATGAGTAACTATTCTATTATTAAATTAATCATCGAATTATCTTAAAAAGTGGTTTTTTATTGTACAAAAGGTATATTTACACTTAAGTAATCTTCGAGTACCGTTTTGGCAATAGCTGTTATGGGAGATGGACAAAATATTAAGTCATTTGGTATATTATCAGACAGCGATTTCAGTATATCCATTGCCAGTAGTCCATCGGCGAAAAAAACTGGTTTTCTTTCTGTAATAACAGGTGTATTTCTATATTTTGATTTCTTTTTCTCAATGTAACCATCTTTTTCGTCCAGCTCTGATAAATTCTTATCATCAGACCAAGTAAAGCTTTTTGCTAATGTTATCATAAAGTTTAAAGCTTTGAATTCAATCTTTGGATCTTCTTTATTAAATTTAAGACAGTTCGGATTAGTAAAATCAGTCATAAAGCAGAATATATCGCCCTCTGAAGTACTAAAACAAATATGTATGTAAATCAGATATAATATTCTACAAAACATTTCGTAGAATGCAATAATTCTTTATGACTAAGTTGTAACAAGTTCATCTATACAGATAAATAAAATCGAAGTGTATGGTTTATAATGTCAAAATAACAGCTTTTTACTAAATGCATATGAAATTATATACAGTACTAACAAAAAACTAACGTAAAAATTTTGCCAATCAGTCCTGTCTGTTTGTTTATTCCGGCTAATCTCCGAAACGGCTGGACAGATTTTGACGGGATTTCACTGACCGATTGCCGATGTTATAAGGAGTAACTTATAAAAAGAATCAGGGTTCCACGTAAAAAAATTAAAACTCATGAAATTGCGAATAAACCCTCTTTACTTAGGACGCACCCGAGCGAAGCGAGCGTAAGTCGCTAGTCAACTTAATATATGATGTTAGAGTAATAAATAAAATTATACAAAATTAGTATTTCTTCTATTGCGGTTTTAAATATAAGTACTTTACCTAGACAAATCAAGAGACATTTTAATGGAATTATTGCAAGGTAATGCACATGACTCTAACTCCAACCTAAAAGCATCCACGGATTTCATCTCATTAGAAGACGTTACAAAAATCAAATCAATCAATTGATCTTTCCCAAAAATTACACCAGTCAATATTTTCACAATGACTAATTGGGAAGCTGGTGCAAGAGGATTCACAATAACAACTTTTAAAGGTTTTAGAATAGGCTGGTGTTGAAAATTCATTTTGATAATATTTATGTAAGTGCTATAGCGAAAATTTAGACGTATTATAATGACGTTTTAATGCCATGTATCCAATCCCAAATTTTACACTTTCATAAAAATGTTAAGATAAATAAAGCCTAATTTACACTATGAAATATTCAGTATATTATACGATCTACCTTTGTTATAGAACGCAAAGAGTGGGAAGCGCTTAGCTGTACCTATATAACATAGTTATCTGAGTAATTTAGTAGTAAGTAAGTGTAGTATGTTTTATTAACTATTCTAGGCCGAAACCACACGACAATATTTTCTTAATTAATTTTTTTATTAATTCAGTGACATTGGCCGGGAAGTGGAGATAAATTTATGCTGGTTAGATAAAACGGTGACAGGTCTCGGGGACAGTTTGTGACCCGCGTTTGCTTCTGAAGCTCAAGAGAGAAATTTATAAGACCGTAATAAACTAATAAATCCATCATGATGTATGGACCATAATGTTGCGTAGTCAAAGCCACGGATGAAAGGAAGATAGTGAATGTTGAGTTGATGGTGATGGTGTTGAATTACTAGGAGGGATAAGATCAGGAATGAATATATTAAAAAAGTTTGACGGAAAAGTTAAGGAGTTAGCGTAAAGGTTAGCGTCATAGGATCATTAAAACGGGTAAAGGTTTTGGTGGGTAGTACTAGCTCTTCTAGCCCAGGATTCTCCTTCCTTTATCTATACAAATGAAAAAGTCAAAGGTTTGAATATATAAATATATAAGTAGCAGCAGACTGAGGAAAGTATGGATGAACATGGTAAAGGAGATGCGTGAGACATGTACATATGTGTGCAGTGATGACAGCTAATAAAGTAAAATGGTAGAAGAAAACTTGAAATTACTCCACTTAAGCGTATGATAAAACAGCACATACTGCTAAGCACTTACAGTAGAGAGGCCCACTCTATACACCAAATTCTTTTTAAAGCAAAGAAAACAAAATAAATACTAAAAAATATTTTATTTTCCAAATATTTGAACTGCGTAATAAGCATGGATGACAAATAATTTAATAAGTATTAAGCCAACTTACGAAATGCCAAAACAAACTTTTCTGTATGACATAACAGTAGTACTAAGAAAAATCGTAAAAAAATATTTACTAAACCAGAATAGATATATTAGTGGATAAAAATCTATAAATATGATTTTCCTAATTTCAATAATTCAGTCATTTACATCTACTCAACAAATCGAATCGTGGACAATAGCAACAATTCTCTCCCTCCTTACATGTCAAAACCATAGATGAATATTAAACGTCAAAAGTGAAACTGACATTTCTAAAGTTTTGACATTCAACATTGTGATTTGTGACACGTCAAACAAAAAAATATGTTGTTTGGATAGAAATGATTCGCGGAATAAATAATAGATAATAATGGCGTCCTCGAAAGATAAGCAGGTTGAAATATCTCCTGCTGCATCGAGTGCCTCAGTAAAGTCTCAGATCCTGGAACGATCTCCTTCGGTATCATCTCACAGGGAAGATAAATGGCCGGAATTGTTGATATCTAAACCGGAAAAATCGTACTACTACAGTACAAAGTGTAAGTAACATGTTTTCAAAATAAATTGTGTTAAAGAAAACAACATATATTCTTAATTCTTATGTACGCTTCATTTTTGATTAGTTTTATGTTTTACTGATTTTAATAAATATTTTCATTTTACTATTTAAGGTCTTATTTTAAATAACTTTCTTGACTGTTACTCTAGGGTTATTTCTACCCATATAGGAACACTGACTATCTGTCTTTATGTGTAACAAGATGTATTTAAGTCCATGATAGTACAAAAAATTTAAACTTCTAAGCCACTAATCTTATATTTTAATACTTGCAAACTGATTTTTTAAACATATTTTATACCTCCCTTTAAACTAGTATCTTAATTGTTTACCAAAACCAAGAGTTTGTTAATTTAAAAAATTTATATTTGTACACCCCAAATTTTTTTTTTTATCATTATTAACTTGATATAGAACTCAAAGTGTAAGTCCTACTCAAATGTTCGGTTATCTTTGGTAATTTTCAATTGCAGAGTGAATCTACTGATAGGAATCAGTAGATTCACTCTGCTTGATCTGTCTAAATCTTATTTTTTTAATTAAATAAAAAAAATTCTAGGAGCTATATACAATTATAAGCTATAGAGTAATAAAATTAAGCAAAGCAATACAAATCTTGATCCTATAAGTTTTTTCGAATATTATATTATTTTAATAATTATGCATTATACTGCAATATACTATTGCTAAAATATTAATAAATAAATAAATAAAAATATTTTATTTATTTATTTATCATAAAATAAGAGAAGTAAAAGTTATCATGCTAATTATAAATAATATTAAAAAATGTAACCTTGTAAATACTAATTAAAAACTAAACTATATTTCTTCATCAACTTGTACTCAACTTTTTAGTTTGCTTTTTACTCTGCTAGGGTTGTTTTTTAATTTTCGTAAATATTTTGTTTATTTACAACTTTTAGTTTTTCTTATCCCAAATTATTTTTAAACATAGAAGTTGTATATACTTTTGGAACGGCCTCTTAAAAGTCTGTTTTATACCCCACTAAATCGATGCGAGAAAAAAAAAATCTCAAAACAAATTGGCCATTTTGGTTTATAATGGTATCTATACATATATACCTACCTATATATCTATGACACTCACATTATCAAGATGAATCTAATGACATATAAATCATGAAAATTGATTAAGCCGTTTACTGTTTAGTAATTACAAGGGAAAATAAGGTTGGACATACACACATACAGATCAAACATATAACCCTCCTTTGGTCTTCGCCGCAGCTGGGTAAAAATGTGAATATATATATATGTAAATAGTAAATTCTACTTGGTATAGTCAACTGTTTATCCATACTATATATATTACATATAATATGTGAAATTAATATTATAAATGTGAAATTGTGTTTGTTTCTTTGTTTGTTTGTCCTTCTTTCACGTCGAAATAAAGTGACAGATTGTCGTGAATTTTTGTGTGGAGATACTTAGAGAGCTAGAGAATGACATAGCCCACTATTTACCGAGAGAGATTATCTCATTCCCACTGGAAAACACGTCATAATACAAAGCACAACAACTCATCATTCATCACTATACCTAGGGATGAAGTGTATAATATTATAAACAAATTATTTTTTTTCTGTTCCATGTGTGGCATTTTATAATAGCATTTTTTACAATAAGCCTGCATTTATAACATAATGCAGAAATTAACAGCATATTACTTAGATAACAGCTAACTAATTATTAGAAAGTGCCACTTTTCCATGCACTCCATTGAATCATCTGATTTACTCCTAATTAAAGATATGGGGACTCCATCTTTGAACAAATTTTGGAACTATTTTATAGAACCCTAGTCTTTTTAGAAAAAGGATTATATATCCACGACATACTAGAATAAAGTTGGTTTACATTCAAAAACAGATGGCAGCACTGTAAAGAAGTATTGATTTTCTCCCTAACACATACTTACTGGAAAATCAATACATGTTCTAAAGCTGCTGGAAAAACCATTTGAGTGACATTGTCCTTCGAGGTGTTTCTTTGTGATCAAAATAAGAAAGATTTAATTCAATCTATTATTGCTTTTGGAATAAAACTTTGTGTACGCAATAATAGTTAACTTTTGCGAGGAAAAACCTGTTAAAATGTTATTTAACGAGTGATCAAAATTCACGTATCGGAGTTTGTTGTTTCGCTTCATAGTTTTTTTGCTAATTTATTATGCGTTCATTAACTGCTGTACGTGGGGTGGGTCCCTTGCCTGAGCTAGGATTAACATCTGGTATACAAGGTGACGAAAATCCCGATGTGGATATGGCTGGCGCGCAGGACACCATTTACCTGTGCAATTTTCGCGTATCAGTCGACGGAGAGTGGCTCTGTTTGAAAGAATTACATGATATGGAGATGCAGGATTCTTACACGCGTCAGTCTGATAGCGGCGCAATAACATCACCAGACGATCCAATGCACTCTCTTATGGGTAATAATATGATAATCGTGAAGTAAAGTTTAATTTTATTCCGCAATTAAAGCCAATTCCCTGTAATTTTATGTAACAAACTAGTTTAAAATATAATTAAGTTTACACGAGCACAAACACACCACCAACCTTTTATATCTATTGATGTATACCTGTAATGTAACTAATGTGTAATAATAATTTCATTAAATACTTTGCAAACTTAAAAACCGTTTCTAAAATCTATTTCGAATTAAAATAACTATTTCCGGAAGTCAAGCATAACTCAAAATATAAATAACATAAAAACTCTTTAAGCATTTAATGTTATTAAACCCGACGGGGTGTTATAAATTTGACGTGTCTGTGTCTATCTGTGGCACCGTAGCACCCGAACGGATGAATCGATTTTGACTTTGCCTTTTTTTTGTTTGAAAGGTGAATTAGTCGGGAGTGTTCTTAGCTATGTTTGATGAAAATCTGTCCAAGATGGTCGGCGGTTTTTTATTTTTTATTTTTATTTATCATTTGTTATATTTTATACATATATTATGTACTTTAAGTTACATTATAAAAGTATAGTGCCATATAATTAAAATTACGTACGCTATAGTAGGTATACGAAATTTGAAGTATAAGGCAATTATCTTTTATAGCTCGAGATCCCGTAGTGATAGAGCGCAGCAATCTCGTAAACATCTCAAAATTGATCGTGAAGGAGTTGATTGAGCAATCGCTTCGTTATGGCCGGATGCTCGACAGCGACCATTTGCCGTTGCATCATTTCTTCATTGTTCTTGAGCATGTCATGCGTCATGGACTTAAACCTAAAAAGGTGAATCTTTTACTACATTCTTTACGACACTTGACAAAACACCTCGCAGTAGCCTACATTCTGACCGATACATGGTTTTTTTCATTATTTAACTTGTTACCTAATAGATACGTACGGTTTAAATACTTATATAAAGTTGTTTTCAGGGTCTACTTGGCCCCAAAAAGGAACTGTGGGATATTCTACAAATGGTCGAAAAATATTCGCCTGAAGCAGCTGATATAACAGCAAGTATTAGAGACTTGCCGACTGTCAAGTAAGTTGATGTTAAACAGTTTTAGGTCAGGGCCGGAATTCGTGATCGCTGAATTACTATCTACTTAAAGATTATTACACAGGGCATATAGACATATACTTAAAGTTGTATTACACAGGGTTCAGAAACTCGTTCAATTTTTAAACTGGTTTTGTCATTGACCTTTAGGCTTTTCAGTTTAAGATTTCGGTTATGTTTTGAACCGGTTAAATCTCGGCGAACGGTTTTTCATGAATTTAGGTCCATGATTAAAATTAACCGGTCAAAATGAATTTTTGTACGTTTACACTTGGCGAATCTTTTCTATTGGTGAATTGTTTATTATAAAGACACATGTACGGTTTTTACTTATGAATGAATTAACCGGTTTATTTCGGTATCAAAACCGAAATCCAACCTTTCTCTAAGAATAACCGTTAGCCATTATTATTGCCGTTTACTAAATCATTCGCTTTCATTAACCGGTTAAAAATAAGCGATGAATTAACCATTACATAAGCGAATTAAACCGTTTTTTAAACCGTTTCCAAGCCTTGGTATTACATAACAATTAAGCTCTACATTACTTATACCTGTCTTTAATCTCAGTTATTCTATTAAACCCGCTAAGGTAAACTGTTCCAAATAACAAAAGTATACTGAAATGTAATCTAGACCTTAATCTTGTATTATATTTAATCATATTATAAAATAAACTTTTGTGAAAATACTTAGGTACATTTTCGGACCTTTAGATAATACTATATACAATAAACTAAGTTTAATGGATGACTAGCTCAAAAATGTAAATAAAATGTGTGAAACCGCAGTCACTGATATAGCAATTTCTACGTAAAAGCTTTTTTTATTTAAATATATTTAAAATTAAACTTTTCCTCTAATACGTATACAAATGATCATTTTCGCAATAGCTAGATAAATATTTGTTCCACAAAATACAAAAAGGTGCTGGTGATATTTATGTGACCCATATTCTTTAAGCTATTTTAGCTTACTTTATGGTCTCCGATTTTATTTTAGGACGGCTATGGGACGTGCTCGGGCTTGGCTAAGATTAGCACTCATGCAAAAGAGACTTGCAGACTACCTCAGAATTTTATTAGAACATCGTGAAGAGACTTTAGAGGAGTATTTTGAACCGCACGCCTTAATGTTAAATGAGGAAGCCGTGATTATTACTGGATTGCTTGTTGGCCTCAATGTCGTTGACTGTAATTTGTGTGTTAAGGTAAGTTTGGTATATGGAGAAAAGAAGATAATAAATAGAAGAACTAGGTATATGTATTATGTACTTAAAACCTCTTTTATCATTTATCCCTATTTTGTTTTAAACAACTAGACACTTCCGAATCTGAAATATGATTTCCACCAAATAGACTAATATTACTGTAACGGATACGGTGCGCTAAAATAGACATTTTATATATCAACTAGCGACTCACCCTCGCTCCGCTCGGGTTCGTCCCTGGGGTGGGGTCTGGGAGGACCACCCTTATCCTTATCACTTAGGGGTATGGAAAATAGATAGTAGCCGATTCTCAGACCTGCTGAATACGCATATAAAGTTTGGTAAAAATCGGTAAAGCCGTTTCGGAGGAGTACGGTAACTAACATTGTGACATGGAAATTTTATATATTAGATATATTTGGCAGACACGTTATGGCGAACTACATGTACCTACTTACCATAATATCATTTTAATTTTCACTAAGAGTTTTCGCTCTAATTGAATAAAGAAATTATCGTATGAAGGTCAAAGTATGGTTATGTAGTTGACAGCATCTATCTTTTATGTTCTATATTAATGCACATTATTCAGACGTGAAAAAATGAAATAAACAATTAACTTAAAAAGTAGGTATATTTTTGAAATTAAAAAACGTGAAGATGGGTTTCTTAATTTTAGGAATTATAATAATTGGGTTCTTAGATTCTAAATATCTAAATACTAGCATAATAACCCGGATTCGCCTGGCTTCTTTTTAATTTGGCACCTGCACATTTCTGTTTCCTGCATAAACTTTGTTCACCCTTTTATAGTTTTTAGTTGTTACTAATCTCATAATAGGATAAGACAAAATTCAAAATTGTAGGTCTGCATTTAGTAGGAAATAAAAGTTAGGTTTCATTTAAACTTAGAATAAATTTAACTGTGCCATTTTAGTCGTTTTAATTATAGAAAACAGCGATATCAATTCACATATTTTCAAAGGAGTTACGTGATATATTAGCTTACATATTTTAATTTCATTAATTTAATATATAACAAGACTAGCAGAACCCGCGGCTTCGCTCGCACTAAAACTACAACACTTCATAAAAACTTTCACCCCCTATTTAACTTCTTAGGGGTTAAATTTTTGAAAACGCTGAAATACGTAACTCATTACTTTTGCCGTACTCAATTCATGCATACATTCAAAATTTTATCCCCTATTTCACCCACTTGGAAGTTGATTTTTGAAAAATCCTTCCTTAGTGGATACCTTCGTCATATGAGGAATACGTGAGCGAATTTTTTAATTTTCTAGCCTTAGAGGTTTGGCTTGTGCGTTGACACATCAGTCAATCACTTTTGCCTTTTATATATAGATGCTATATTTATTAATAAAGAATAGTAAAATTGATTGATTGAACAATGATTCACGATTGGTGAAAATATCCGTAACTTTTATAAAAACAATACAGTTATACACCTGAATTCAGTGCCTCAACTCAAAATCAACATAAAAGTTGTATTTAGAAGCATTAACATTTTCACAAGAGTTACTTTATATAGTGCAGAATTTGTAATAAAGAACCCCATAAAAGCAAAAAATAAAAGATGAATGTTCGTCATTTTTTATGGTTGAAATATGAAAATTGTATTTAAACTTATGATTTGATACTTAGCTTGTATATTACAAACATTTTATATTTACATTAATTAGTTACTGATTGTGTTATACTGTTTTTTTTATCTATTGGAATTAACCAACGATAATGAGGTCCAATTCGTACATTGAGTTTTTGTGTTAAGGAGTTTAGGTATGTAACTCAGAACGTTTAGAATTTATTTTTTCTATATCTTTACAATACTGACTGTGTTTATGAAATTAGTTCAGTAGGGAAACGCTCAAAGGAGTTCAAAAGTTTTTGTCCTCCTCCTGACCTATTTCGGACACGGCGGCCAATCTCACTGAGATTGGCTGCGCAGGAGATATTACAGGGCACAAGTAAGCGCGCAAACACGAGTGCTCTCTCTATTTCTTTTACTCTCAAAGTCTGATGAGATGATACTTCGAAACGACCGGGTTAGGGTGTAGGACCGCTTTAAGTGTTCTCCGAGGCACGGGTTAAATAACCACCAACTTCCCCATTCTGGGCTATTACTAAAAGTATCTTAGCAGAAAACTCAGTAAGTAAGTAAACTCGGCTCGACCCGTGACTCAAACCTAGGACCTCCGGCTCTGTACCTGCTAACCACTACACCACCGACGCAGTTTTTATTCATCACACAGAGTTCCTGTTAATGTTCTCATTTGCTTTGCACATTTCGATCTTCGCGTTGGTACAGGGCATTTTTTCATGACAGGAGCTGGCAAGACATATACCATTAGTATTGTTGCTACTGTTTCTAGAAATATTATATCTTATATGCTATGACACATTATAGCTAAATGCGAAAGTACGCTTTTAGTTGGTCACATCCCACAGCAACATATTTAGTTAATTTCGTACGTATACATTTTATAGAGGACATTTTTGGGCCGGAGAGTGCCATAGGGTACTTTTATCCTGGTATACGAATTTGATTCCCATGAGATATTAGTCTATTTCTATGTCTAAAATTTTATATACATCACTACTTTATTCTAAACTAGCGGCTCATCCTCGCTTCGCTCGGGTTCGTCGCTATGTACGTTTTAAATAGATATAAATAGTTATTATCCAGCGTTAGACATATAAATTTTAATTGCTTTGTCGTAATTTTTTCTGATGTTTTAATACTTATTATCCTAATTCGGACTAAGAGAAATCCAAACAATCAAAGATCATAAAAATTGGTCCAGCCGTTCTCGAATTATAAATAGTGTAACTAATACGACTTTGTTTTATATATACTATAGATGAGTATTTAGGCATCGAAGTTTTTTGTAGGAAGAAGATTTGGACAGTCAACAGGGTGTGATAGATTTTTCTCTGTATCTCCGTGGAAGCAACTCGTCTAATGACTTAGCCGGAAATGGCAACGGAAACAACGAACCCAAACAACGTCACATCAACACTATGTTGGACCAAAAGAACTATATCGAAGAACTGAACAGACATCTCAAGTAAGAAAAGAAAATTATTATTATTATTTAAAAATAATGGTGTTTTTCATCAACTATAACATAAAGGAGGAAAACAAATTTAATGTGCCCAAACTTTGGGAGGCTTCCTCCAAAAGTTACAATACAATAGTTACCATTGAAGAATTCTATGATCCATCTCTTGGCTCCATCATCCAATTATCATCCATTTACAAAGTTACAAAAATCGATATGGTGTTTAAATTTCACAGTTTCCCTTTTTTCTATTTAAGTGACTTTGATAATACTTCTTGTAAATTCGTTCTAAATTTCCTATGAAGTATAGGTTATCCTAATTGTTTTTTTTTTTAATATAGAGGTAAGTCAAACAATTTTATCTTTGTTTGTATAAGATAACGCATTTGGTTGACAAGTGGCAACTGTCTCCTAAATAGCATTGTAATTATATCGACAGTTCATAAATAATAGAGTATAGCTAAATCTAAAGATAGAGTCCTCGTCTGGCAATAATTATATTAGTCCGTCATGTCAGTTTATTGTACAGAAATCATTTAGTTTATGCCCTTAATAAAGCAGAACGGCCATTTTTATTATCGTAACATTATAAATAATATTTAATCTCTAAAATTCTGAATTATCTAACTTTTAACTTTGCAAATTTTACATTGCAAAAAGGACTTACAAAGATTTTACTTCGTAATACTAACCAAAACTTCATTAACTTGGCCCAAGTTTGAGGTAACCGTTATATTATGTATCTATTGTATATTAAATAGTCATTTTGCGTACTCTTGAGAAGTATTTTAGCTTGAGTCATTCCCATCATTAAGCTTCCAACTTTAACGGGACTTTTACATTAGGAACTGCAATCACGACAACAACATCCGCTACCATGTCCGTATACGTAGTAAATGTATAAAACTATGAATATAATTGTATTTTATCTGACACTTTATGGTAACTTACTCCTTATAAATGTAAAATAAACGTTGAGTAATATATAGTTTATTTCGGCTACGTAAAAAATTTGTATATCTCTTACTAGTTCAAATGCACTTATTAGTTCAATTTTTTTGGAAAAAAAATCAGTAAATCTTTCGGATGATTCTTTTACCTTTTCTTCTCTTGTATCTTTTATTTTTTACTTCACTAAAACCAGTCATGATTTGTAGATTTCAATAATGATGGCAATATAATCTTTTCTAAAAACTCATCTCTAACTGCCAGATAATAAACTAAAATAAGAATACCACAAACAAAACTAATTATAAATTCGCGCCCGTTTCGCCCGTAAAGTTTAACGACCACTGCATTGTGTTTGGCACAAGTAGTGTAATGCCGCAACTTTGCATGGTTTAAATTTAACATACATTATATCCTAAAATGATTTTACATAACAATTTTAAATTGTTATAGGAATAACTAATCAGTAATTTCCGTATACGCGTAAATGTTTTAAGAGGACGTGAATGACGAAATCCGAAAGTATAGATATTAGCGAAAAATGCTCAAAAAAGTTATGGCCAGATGTAAATAAAAATAAAATTTTATTACTTTTATGAATGAACTTGTTATTTTTGTTACAATGATAATTATCAAAGTATCATTGTACCTGCGAAATGAAATTGTGTTAATGAAACTGCGGATGAAGATGTTAGTTTTAGCAAAGCTATTATTATAGTTCTGTAAAATTAAACAAATAATAGTATTTGTAAACATATGTATATCTTACGTGTGTTATGATTGATTATTTTATATAAACCTTGGAAATATGAAATGCTCCATAAAATTAAGCTTTAACAAACTTCAGCAAATATACTATTGTTCCAGTGCCACTGTAGCTAATTTGCAGTCCAAAGTGGAAAGTTTGACCACAACAAACGCTTTAATGAAAGAGGACTTGGCAATCGCTAAAAACACCATGATTCAACTCGTCGAAGAAAACAACCAATTGAAACATGCTTTGGGTAATATCTTTTAAAACAATTTGTGTTTCCTTTTGTTTAAATATTTTTTTTTGCTATGAATGAAAAATATCTGTATTATACAGATATTTTTTTTCTATCAAAGTTAGTATTTTCTAAATATTTCAAATTAAAAAAATACTTATCTAATTTTAGATTTTCTTATTTTAAATAACTAGAGTGAATATATTTATTATGATAAAATCTATGCTATTTTAACAATTTATATCGTATTTACAATTCCGAATGTGTCACGCGTTACGCGAAGATAGTAGATTAGTGCGATAAACCTGTAACACTTACGGTGTGAAAATCGCAATAATAGACTGCATTAGATAAAACATAACGACACCTTGCGAAATGACTCACGATTGTTAGTTAGTAGGCATCAGTATGCTGAAGTCGTCGCACGCTTAAATAAAAAAATATATTGTATTTATATTATTAAAAACAAGCCACCGTTATGAGATACACTATGGGCAACTCAACGACGTCTCCAAGAAAAACGTATATGAAAAATTGTGAGTTATTTCTATGTGGGTGTCTTGATATGTGTTATTTATACGACTGAATGCGCGTTTTTTTTTTGTACAGGTCAGGATATAACTAAAGATAGGATGAAAGTTGTGGAAATGCAGGCTGAAGATGAGGTAAGTGTAAATATTTATGTTTATTAAAATGTTTGTATGTATGTACAATGTACATTGTACGTTCTTATCGTGATAACTCATTGATACAAGATACATAAAAGATTTATTATTGCGCGTATATGATGTTTATTTCATATCAGTTTGGTATTTTGTTTATGTAAATATGTTTTTTTATGTAAATTTTAAGAATTTTTATATTTTTAGTAATTACTGCTGAATGTGGAATATGAATATCGTTTTTAATGAACCAAAACACGTTATATGTATTTTGCCGATCGACGATTTGTATTGCAGCTAGCTTGTGTAATTGTAATGTCGTGTCATTATTTAATATGATGACCTCACGAGAATGAGTTTATTATCATAATATTAGCGTTAAATGCTAATTAGATTATAACTATTCTTAGAACTTTTTCGTTTCATTATAACTAACTACTACACGTGGCTTTGTTCCCTTATTTCTATTAGTCTATCGACTCAAAATCCAGTTATCGTGGTAGGTAATTGCTTTATATGGGAGTAACTACAACTGAAGGCTCATACTGCATAATAGTTCTACTCGTTCAATTGAATAAATTATAGTTACGTTTTTCAACCGACTTCAAAAAGGAGGAGGTTCTCAATTCGACTGTATTTTTTTTTTTTTTTTATGTTTGTTACCTCAGAACTCCGTCATTTATTAACCGATTTGGACAATTTTTGTTTTGTTTGAAAGGGTATACTTCCAGATTGGTCCCATTTAAATTTCAAAAAAAAAATACCACCCCTAAGGGTGGAAAAACAACTAATGATGAATTTAACCTACTTATAATTGTCATATTGACTTGAAACTTTGCAAGTATTTCTATTTCCGTTGATAGTACAGTGGTTCGGTGTTGTTAACCTGATTTGATGGCAAGGCCAGAAGGTGGACAGGTGGAACTCTTCAACGGCTAATAGTAGATACTTTGAGTTTGGGCTTATTTTGTTTGATTTGACAAGCCTAACGCGTTAGAATCCTTACTTTGCTACTACTGTCTACACTAAAAAGGGAAAAATAAAAACTTTTTAACAAAAAATAAAAACCGACTTCAAACAAAAGCACTAAAAAGTAAAAAATAACTAATTGGTAGTTTTCATTTACTATACATACCTAATCAAATATATTCGAAGTCGGTGTGCTTTGCTTTATATGGCCTGGCACCGATTTCGAAAATATTTGATTAGGTATGTATTTAAATGGTAGGCTTTAATTACTTAGCCAAAGCACACCGACTTCGAATATATTTGATTAGGTATGTATAGTAAATGAAAACTACCAATTAGTTATTTTTTACTTTTTAGTGCTTTTGTTTGAAGTCGGTTTTTATTTTTTGTTAAAAAGTTTTTTTATTCAGACTTCTTTGTACAACAAATACGTAGCCTAGCCTTTCAAGAGTGATGTATCTTTAAAGAGACAGAAATAAATTGTTAAAATATGGCTTCTATTTTATCCCAAAATATACTTTAGAGATAATATTTTGACTACATATATGTATAACTATGATGCGTAGATAAGGAAAATCTTTTCAAATATAAACCAAAAATATAGAATGACATAAGGTAAATAAAGTGTTATGTCATACAGTATTTTTATTGGTTCATAAAAACCATAAAACTTTATTACAAAACCATTATATTTAAAAAAAAGTATTTTAAAATAAAAACTTAAAGGGTAGTTGCAACCAATGTCGATATTTATAATTGGACTAGCGATTCATCCTCGGTCCGCTCGGGTTCGTCGGACAACCAGCTATCACCATACCAAATTTCATCAAAATCCGTCCGATGATTTTCTCGTGACGCGTTCCCAGACAGACAGACAGACAGACAGACAGACAGACAGACAGACAGACAAACAAGAATTCTTGAAACTATTCGGATTTCGGAATAAAACTATCTTTTCTGATAACTTCGCGGATTTATTTTGATTTTTGGTTCCCGACGTTTCGAATGCTTTACTGCAATCGTGGTCACAGGAGAGACTGCATGTCTGCATGACGAGAACCAAAAATCAAAATAAATCCGCGAAATAATCCGAAAAAGTAGTTTTATTTAAAATCTATGAAAGTGTTATATATTTGGACTCTGTATCGATAATAATGACAATTTCAATAAGAATTTCCAAAAAATATCTAATGTACAGATTCGACTTAGTTAAAATTTAATATATGTATGGATTATTGCAGGAAAAAAGAAGCGTTAAAAGTAATGCATCAGACAAACACAAAAATGAAAAGGATAGTGAATTGGGTAAGATTTTGGAAGAAGAAAAGAAGAAGAATATGGAGTTGCAAAAAGAAATTGATTTGCAGGTAAAAATAATAGATAAATTATAAAAACTTTAAGTAGTAATAAGAATGATTCGGTGAATTTCTTCTTTAAAATTCGAAGGTTTGAAGACTGAGAGACTTAATTAAGAACATAATTGATTGTATTTATAAGTAACACAATATAGTTTGGATCTTTTCCAACTTCGGAAGTAAGTTCAGATTTTTATATATAATTTATCGTATTCCAGATATCTTTAAAAGCTGAAATGGAGGTCGCAATGAAATTACTAGAGAAAGATATCCACGACAAGCAAGACACCATCATATCGTTAAGGCGACAGTTGGATGACATAAAACTGATCAACTTGGAAATGTACAAAAAGTTGCAGGTAAGAGTGTTGCATGGGTGTGTTATTTTGTCAAAGGGCTGCCAGATGTACGATATTAATTATTGTTTTTATCTTCACAAATGCCTTCAAAGTTCATAAATCAGTACATTAATACAATATGTCGGTAGGCATTTGTCATCTAAAACATTATTTATATAATAATGTTTTTTTTAATTATAGTAACCATCGTTATATTTACTAGACATTGCGTTTGTGGCTTAATAAACTTCACATTTTAGGTCACGCAAACTTTGTGTTCATATCTAAAGGAGATGGGTAAATATAATAATGATCGGCCATTTTTCGTCCATTAGCATATTCATATTATATTTATATTTTTTTAATACTGATACTTAGTCGAAATGAAAATGCTATTTTTTTAATAGAAATCGCAAAAATTCGACGAATTTTTCAAGTTTAATGACCTTTTTATGTGACCTACAATTCTTTTTCTTACTTTTTCAGAGTAAATGTAAAGAACAAAGTCATATTATCACATAAATATGATAATATGACTTTAATAAAAAGGTTGAATTTTCATCACTATAATAAGCAAAAAAAAGTTGATATGTTCCCACTTCCTTTAAAAATTGCTAACCGTAACTTTTAAAATTTCAATGCAATGTTTATGTGAACCTTAAATACTCATCTGGCAACCCTAATTTGTACCCTTTGGCCTCATCAATGCTTTTTGCTAACCAAAAACTAATTTTAATTTTCCTCCTGATTTTCCACTTCACTGTACAATAACGCTAATACCGCCATTGTAACATTAACCACAATTTATTGGGCTTGTATAGAAATGGAGGTCAACTATGATTGGACAATGTCAATGACCAATGTAATAGCATAATCACTTTTGACCTTCATGGTAACTAATTACACAATATTTGAACTCTTAACATTATATTATATTCGCTGGCCTGATTTTTTAACGTAATTCAGTTTAATGATGACATTGCAAGAGTATTTATGCTTTTTATGCACATCTGAAAAACATCAAATTAATTTTAAACTTAAGACAGTGGTAGCTCAGTAGTAACGCGCCCGCTTGGGAAACTGAGTGACGTGAGTTCAAATCCCGGGTCTCGCACCTCTGATATTTTCATGTGCGAATAATTTCCAACATGATTACCACTTGTCTTAACGGTGAAGGAAAACATCGTGAGGAAACCTGCATGTCTGAGAGAACCTAGCAAGTTTTCGAAATACATGTGAAGTGCGCCAACCCACACTTGGCCAGCGTGGTAGACTATGGCCTGATCCCCTTCGTACTGAAGGGAGGCCCTTGCCCAGCAGTGGGACGTTAAAAAGGGCTGAATACATACATACAATTTTAAACTTAAAATAAAAAAAGACAAAATTAAATTGAAAAACACAAAATAAATTAATTGAAATGAATATTGTAGCACAATTTAAATTTGATCTCGTCTCAAATATTATTATCTATCCGATATTATTATATATATATATATATCATTGTGTATTAGAAGTCATTGTACTACGAAGGTCTCTAGAGAGTGGGCGCCATATTATTATTACCCCGCCCATACAATCTGTTTACTTCGTTGGGTTATTAATTTACGTCTCCTTAGATGCGTAAATCATTTTATTTGACTATTGCTTTTTGTTTTTGTTGCGACACATGCTTATAAATGCTTTATATCCCTTGCGTATTTGATACGTAGTTTGTTTTGTTCTTACGTCAGTGTTTTAAAACGAAATTTTAATATTTATACTCAGTTCTAAATATGGGGTCCCAATTGTTGGTTTTATTTAAACAATTAAATACTTATTTAATAAATAAAATAGGTTAAAAATGTCGAAAAAAAATACATTTATTGCAACATCTTAAATATTAAAAGCATTATTACATTAATAATATATAATTTATTTTATAAAGTTTATAAATAATAATCTTAACAAGGGATTAAAACGTATATCCATAGTAGTTAGTAAATAAAATGGCGGACTAATTAAATATTAACCTAACTATTGGCTGTCAGATGGGACTTTGTATTTGGGTTGATAAAACTAGTATAAAATAATACGATAGCTTAAAATTTATATATTACTAACAAAATGATGTATGTCAATGCCGCATTTAAAAATGGAAGGAATGTGAAATGGAACTGACGCAGAAAGGCGAAATGGTATCCAGGCTTCAAGGGAAAGCTGAACAAATTGGCAAAATTCTACACAACCTCGAAAAATATAACCACTTCCTAGGACCGGACCATGATTTAGTCAAAGCTCTCAAATCACCCACTAACGATAATATAGAAATGCTTAAAGCACAAAGTAGCCTGAAGGGTACAAAATCGAAAGATGACGGTCCGCCCAACAAAAAACTTAATTTACAGGAAATACCACCTTTCCGCAAGACCAATAGTACTGAAAAATCCATTAGCCATGTCGATAAATAAATTGAACTTTGTAAATGTAATAAATAAATTTAAAAAGCCCATAAGGTGGTGTTTCCTCGTAGGAAATTAGTTCCATGTAATACTAACATTTGTTCTAATATTTCAAAACTGTTCTATACATTAGTTTAGAGGAAAATATAATGGCATTATTGAATTGATATCATAATAGCTTATATTCAACCATCTTATTAGCCTCGTCTAGTATAAGCTTAGTGAAATACTCTATGCTTATTAAAGTTCTAACATCTTAGAAGGGTCGATAGCAAATTCTTATTGACCCACCAATATATTAGTGATTATTAAAACTAATATTCTTAAAAGTAAATATATATTTGAATTGTGAAAGCTTAATAGTGGCTTTGTTTTAGGAATGTGAAAGTTCCTTGAAACATAAAACAGAGTTAATAGCAAAATTGGAAGCAAAGACTGAGTCAATGGGCAGCACGATACATCAGCTCGATGAAAAGTAGGTTACATGTTTTTCTTAATGCCTCTTATCGCTCGACGATCAGTGCCTAGACGTTTATTATGTTTAATAGGGTAATTGACTTTTTAATAAACATTTTTGAATCGTTATCAAATCGTCTGTTAAAATTTGTAATTTAATAAACTCTGATATAGAAATTGACGTTGAAATTAGCATGGCCTTAGAATTCGTACAAATAACACATTTGTAGATAATTCTTATCTGATCTTTTAGTATATATTTGATGACTAATAGAAATCAGTCAAATACCCTATTTTAAAGTAACATGTATTGCTTGACATATCAATATGTGGATATCGCACTTAGGTGTGAGCGATGCACCGCTTGCTGAGAGAAATCTTGATAGTTGCGATAAATAATCTTAATACTTTCGATATTGGCAAACCACCACAATGAATCTAATATTTTGATATTATAATATATTTTTATTATATAAAAGACCACTCGTGGGCAAGATGCTACTGCTTCAGCTTGTTGCTGTGGTACTTTAATAGTTATTGTATTTATTAGAACGTATTAAGTTTTTGTAAGGTTTACTTTTCTATTAAAACCATAACAATCTCCAAATAATGTTTTTCCTATATTGAAAAAATATGGATTTTATGTTATAACTTTATCTCGGCTAGAGTGTTAGAATGTTCTTTCGACATTTTCATAAGATCTCTAGCGTTAGTAATATTGTATTCAAAGAAAATTCTAGAAGACGATACCAAATTATCTTAGATGTTTTATATATTTTTTCAGTGATATTCGAGTATTATAGGAATGTGATACAATCCATAGGATATCTTGTATTATTATTAAAAAATATATGATCTCATTTTATGTATAATCCATATTTAAAATAATATTATAATAGATTATTATGCGCAATGAAGTTATACCTGTCATAGCATTTAGAACCAACTGTATTTGAAATGAACCTTTGTCGGTTTCTTTTATAGTTTTTGTAATTTTAAAGCTAGTTATGTAAAGCCTACTTTGTAATAAATGATATTCAGTCGCATACCGTATTTTATTTAAAACCACAGTTTTGCTTGTTTTAATTTTGTTTATTGTGCAGGTTTGCCATTATCACCTTTCAATTATGTTTGCATGTGTTGAATCTTATATATTTTATAATAAGCTGCTACTCTGGAATATTTCATAAGTTGTATAACAACTTCACTTTCCATAAATTCCTTTCATACAAATAATACTAAGAGCTTTTACAATTTTTCATATAACAAGAGTATAAGAAAATCACAAGAATTTTTAATTATAAACTAATAATATATAAAATATTATAAACTAATAATAATAAATATATAAAAACAAATTTGATTTTGTTACAACACTTATAACTCGAGAACTGCTGGACCGATTTTCATGGTTTTTGATTTTACCACGATTAGCAGAATAACTATTAAAACATCGGAAAAATTCACAAAAACAATTTGAAATTTACATGGCTTATAAGTATTTGTATCTATTTAAAACGTATTTAGTGTTTGTATATCCACAAGTAGTAAATAATTTTATTTTTAGGGTTCCGTACCCAAAGGGTAAAACGGGACCCTATTACTAAGACTCCGCTGTCCGTCCCTCTGTCTTTCTGTCCGTCTGTCACCAGGCTGTACCTCATGAACTGTGATAGTTAGACAATTGAAATTTTCACAGATGATGTATTTCTGTTGCCGCTATAACAACAAATACTAGAAAACAATAAAATAAATATTTAAGGGGGCCCATACAACAGGCATGATTTTTTTGCCGTTTTTTATAGATAATGGTATTTTATTTCTTCTGGAAAGCCTATTAAAATTATCTGTCAAAATAAAGTTTACCTACATTATAATATTTTTACTTTAAAAATATCAGTAAAATATAATTTATTATTATCCCTAATATAAAATCACATAATTATGTTTCTCACTTACCAGTTATATAACAAAAAAAAAGAAAGTGATAAAAGCTTATTTTTATTTAAAAGCTTATGTATAAAAGCTTAATTAAAAAGTTATAATGAATCTATACATAGTATAAAACAAAGTCGCTCCCGCTGTTTGTACGGTTAGATCTTTTAAACTACGCAACGGATTTTAATGCTGTTTTCAACAGTAGATATACTGATTCAAAAGGTAGGTTTATATGTATAATAAATGCATATTATATTCGTACTAACCGTTAAAACGTACCTAGGGACGAACCCGAGCGATATGTCTATATAGCGAGTCCCATATAGCGAGGGTGGGTCGCTAGTTAATAAATAAAACACATAATTAAACTTATCTCGAATGTTGGAAGTATAAAGGAGAATGACTTAAATATGATAAAAAAGAGATATAGTAATAGGGAGATAGGTTACAGGAAGATAAAGCGGCTAGAAAGGGCTTAGAAGAAAGTTCAAGGTGTCTTGGACAGAAGGCCGCTGCCGCTGAAACTAGGGCAGTCGCAGCTGAAGGCGATCTCAGGATTGAAAGAGAATGGCGAATATCTTTACAGGTATCCCTATAATTGGACGTAGTTATGCAAAATAGATCCAACCACATAAACTTACCTTTGAGAAAATAGCGAGTTTTAGTAAAATTGGTATATCAAAATGACAAGACCGTATTTTTTTGAAATTCCTCTTAAATATTGGGTAATATATGTACTTTCTGTGTTTAAGTTGATATGTATGTGCCATTTATGACAGTAACTGAAAAAACGGTTTTCGTGGGCTGGATCCATTTTGCATAAATACTTCCAATTGAAAGTAGTAATTTTAAGGGTAAACAACAAATGAGATAATATTTGAATAGAGTTTTACACGTTCAATCAATCGAACATAATTTATTATTAAAAATTTTGTCTGTTTCTTTTTTTTTGTTAGATCAGTTTTATGTTAAGAAATCAGGCCAAATGAATTTTCGTGTCGTGAATTAAATGTATAGATTATATGAGAAAACTTAGGCTAAAATAATAAACAAGGAGGTTTTTTATATTAAATCTAGTCAGAAGTGATCTTGATTCACTCATGGACTAACCTACACCCTATGTAACTTTAATATGTTTTAGCAGCGGGTCGACTCGCGTGTATTTATTATACATTCACTAAATATGATCAAGCTTAGCAGTTAGCATGTGTTACATACATATAATATACTCTAGTTCTACTTTACCGATAAGATAAAAATTACAATAATTATTTAGGTATATTTTAAACTAGGAATACCTGCTGCTTCGCCTGCGTTCAAACTTCCGATATAAACATCAGTTTTACAATAATGTATGGAAGTCCTATAGCCTCCCTCAATAAACGGGCTATCTAATGCAAAAAGAATTTTTCAAATCAGATAAGTAGTTCCTGAGATTAGCGCGTTCAAATAAACAAATTCGGCCTTATATATTAGTAGATTACTATCATTTTTACAAAAAAAATATTTCATTGATATCAGTACAGCCATCTTTAAGTAATAAACTATTTAACACAGAATATTTTATTAGTTTTAGTTTATAAGCGGTAAGGTACATCTCTAGGTGCCAATAATAGTATGTGTTACTCTAAATCATAGCCTATTCGTGTTCTAATTTCAACCAATTCCGTCCATTCGTTCCAACGTAAAGGAGTAACAAACACACAAACTTTCATGTATATAATATTAGATCGATATTTACAGGAATCAATGATGCGAGACCGAGATAAAATATCGATTCTAACCCAAGAAGTGGAATCTCTTAAATCTATAGGACAGGTAAAAATCATATACGTACATGTAATATTTTATAATTAGTTAAGTAGTTTAAAATATTTTGTTAAATGTCGTTTTGTAATTGAAACATTTGTTAAAACAGTATAAAAATATAATAGACTAGCGCTTTCCCCTGGCTTCGTTCGGGTTCGTCCTTAGGTACGCGGTCAGATTTTCAAGGGTTTTAATTTAATCCAAGCTACTTACAAGTACAAAGTTACTCCTGGTAATATCAGCTATCTGCCAGTGAAAGTCACGTCAAAATCGGTATAGCCATTTCGAAGATTAGCCGGAACAAACAGATAATAAATTTAAAAATTGTTGTTTCTTATAAGTATATCCTTTCATACGCATTTAGTAAAAAGCTGTTATTTTGATATTACAAACAGACACTCCAATTTTATTTATGCGTCGAAGATCTGTAGAGAAGTAAGATATAAAATTAAACTTGAATAAACTAGTTACACGCTTACTGGGACGCTCTGGGATGAAGAAGAAGAAGACTAGTTACACGAATTCCTAATAATAATTAGAAATATAATCCACCAAGCTCGCCAAATACGGGGTGATGGACTTCACACGTCTTTCGACAATTTGTGAAATTCTCTCATATAATTAATATGTTACGTACTTTTTCTAAGATGTTTGTTGATAAATCATCTTAAAAATGAATACTAAATGTATACTCATGGTGCTACCAGTGCTGTCCCTTATTTGTATTTTGGTGTAATCGTGGTAACAAATTTCTATTTAATAAAAAAAATCAAACACACAATCTAAAGCTCTTGAAATATTGCACTTTTACATTAGCTTTCATCATACCAAATTTCATTAAAGTCTCTCCAGTGGTTTTTCCGTTACAAAAAATCTAAAAACAATAGGTAGAGACCAAACCTATTGTTTATCGATAATAATATCTATTTCAATAAGATTTTCCAAAATATATTTAATATACGATTCGGCTTAGTTACAATTTCATTATATGTATAGATTAATCTATCGGGTTCAGCTAGCCATTAATAAATTTCCTATTTTAGAAATATATGGCATTACAAGAAGAACAACATCAGCTAAAAGTACAATATAGCGAAGCTCAAAAAACTCTTGAAGAAGTTGGAGCAACGTTAAGTGAAAATAAATTACAATTAGCAGAAATGCTAGAAAGGGAAGCTAGGACGTCCGAGGAAACACCCAATTGGACAAGTGATAAAGACGCTGTCGCTTGTTTTGCTTGTGCAAAAGATTTTACTATTGCAAGGAGAAAGGTAAGGAAAATGTTTAATTTGCAAATATATAAGATCGTCTTAAACTTCTAACTCATTATTTTCATTGTATAACGTAAAGTATCTTATCAAATAAATACATAATGTATCCAAAATTTAGTTTTATCTATTTAACTACATATTTGGAGTTTTTATATTGTGCATGATGATAATGTCCTCCTGAGCGATTTTGTCCATGGCGGCCAATCTCACTGATACAAGCAAACTGCGCAGAAGATACTCGTATTATAGTGCACAAGTGGTCGCGCAGACACGAGTGCACTCTCTATTACTGAGACTTCCTTAACAGAAACATTCAATTACAAATTGGCCCGACTCGGGACTCGAACCCAGGGCCTCCGGAACTACAGTTGTACATGCTAGTAACTATATCACCGAGGCAGTTTTATATGCATATAACATGTAGAGCCACAATTACTTTTTTTAAATTATGTACGGAAGATAATCTTGCTTTTCCTGAAAACAGCTAGAAATTTTTGAGAACTATTTTATTGGCAAGTGGAAGTCTACATTAAAACATAGCTTTTCATGTTAAAGTCGGTAGTCATTTATAGTTATAGGTGTTTCAAAAATATTATTTTTACACTTATATTCTTTTACTGGCAACTCACTCTAGCTTCGCCCAGGCATCCCTATGTGTCTATTGCAATGGATATATGTATCTAATTGTAATAATATATTCAAGTGCAAATTTCTTTCCGTCCTCTCTTTATATTCTTGACGTCATCCTAATCCGTCCAGCCAAAGGGCCAGTATAACAAACACACATACATACAAATCTCATTTATAATAGTAGTCCGATATATTAAAATATTAAAAGTATACTTCATTTTTATATTACAGCATCATTGTCGAAGGTGTGGTCATATCTTCTGTGGGGCGTGTAGTGAAAAAACAGTGGCATTAGCTGCCAGCACTAAACCTGTGAGAGTTTGCGACAACTGCTTCAACGACGTGAGACTCACTTAGTACAAATACCTAAGACTGAATGTTCACTACTGAATATATTAAATTTTATATCCTCCATGTAATGTTTTCACTTTCAACAACGACGTAAGAGATTTTTAACTGTATACACTGTAATTATAAAACAGCTAACTATGACTACCGGTAGTAATATATCGCTATTACTTTTTATTGACACCGACTCTTGATATTTTGATATGTCTCGAACTTTTTTATTTATTGTACACAAAAATAATAATAAAATTTTAATAATAATGTAAAAATGAATAATTTAAAACAAAAATAATTGTAAGTTTTTTTTTTAATGATATACATACAGATTATGTCTTATTACCAGTTGAAATCAAAGAGACTAAATGTACACGTACATGTTATTTCTTGCCTAATAATAACTAATTGATTCTGATATTAAAAATATGCGTGTAACTTAAACTCAGAAAAATTATGTCAGAAGAAAATAAAATATGGTAATATTTAGTAGTTCAGCAGTGCTTATAAAGTCATTTTTGTTTTGTATAAACTTGTATAATAATTATAATCAAAATGTATATTTTAAAAAATGACAGAAACTGAAATCGGTTTGAAAAAGGACGCTTAAGGTGCTTCGAAAATATTGTGTAATTGTTATTCAATTTTACTGTAAATACATACTTTTTGTTTGTATAGCAATTAATTATTTAAATAAATATACATATGTAACTACTCTATGTTTTCCTACTAAACTCAAATAAATAATAAACATTGGTGTTATAATAAAAGAAAAAATGTTTAAAAATTTAAAAAATAAATATATTCACTAATAATGAAACACTAATATTAATATTACTAGTAAGATTTTAGGTCAATTAAACAAGTCTTGATTTTGAGTATCACTCATCAAATACTCCAGTATTTGCTCCATTGCTTCAGGATTATCTTCGGGGACCTGTAAAAAGAAGTTTTAAAGCAATTTGTTTCCGTTAAAGAATCGAATCTAAAATGCCAGCGTCGGTCATGCTCTCTCACTTGCACACTATTGCTAATAGAATATAGCTGACCTTATCACTGTCACTGCAAGTACCCAGAAGCCATTTTAGATTCATTCCTTTATTGGCGCGGCTTACAAATAATCTTCAGGTAAATATTACACAAGTTTCGTAATAATAAAATCTATTTAATTTGCTTCTTATTTGTCGATAGATAGAATATTAGGTTATGTACTGGTAGTTGAGCAGTTATCAAAGTGTTTGACCAATAAAATCCTTGCAAATCTATAGTAGTATAAGTAGTTAAATATGTATGTAAATATGAAATACTGTTTATTGGTATGCGCATCACTTGAAAATAACTGGACCGACTTGACTTTTTTAAATGTCTGTATTTGTATTATTCGAATAAAGGTTTTAGAGAGTAAAAATCGAAAAAACGCCCGGGAAATTAGTAAATTCTTAAAAAACGAAATTGCTTATTTCTTTTAAAGCATTTTACGTGAACTCAAAGATTGGAAACGAATTTATTGAAATCAATGTTTGTCCATTTACCTATTAGTAATTATTAATTAATTAATTAATTTCCAATGATTTACGTTTATTAGCTAGCTACTCAGTCTCGTTTCGCTCAGGTTCGTCCCTAGGTACGTTTTAACGGCTAGTATGGAATGATAGACTATTTATTCTACACTTAATATTATAAAGAGGTAAAGTTTGTGACGTTGTGCGGGGTAATCTCTGAATCTACTAAACCGATTTAGATGAAACTTGGTAAGAAGATAGTTTGAGACCCTGGGAAGGACATAGGATACCTTTTATCCTGGAAATCGTCTCTTAAGGGGATGAAAATGGGGATGAAAGTTTGTATGGGGAATCTAGCTAGGGACGAACCCGAGCGAAGCCAGGGTGAGTCGCTAGTATATTATATATACAATATACATAGGTACAAAATAAACAGTTCTAAACTGTTGGATTTTCCAGCTGTTGTTTTGTGTTTTCCCTGTTATTTTTTAAACTTAAACTACCCCTGACGCACACTCCCACAAAACAAAAAAAGAATTATTCAAATTGGCCCAGCCGTTTTTTAGTTTTAGACTGATTTTTATATAAATGTAAAGATCGATAACACACCCAATGTCCAGATCCGAAAACTGACCAATAGCTTAGATGTTTGGCAGTTTTGAAAAAGCCATTTGCATTTCCTCTTATGCGTATACGTTTAGCATTCATAAAATCGTGAGCTCCATGCCATTTAAGTGCGTGAACCCAATTAGTAGCACCTAAAATGGAAAATGAATACAACTATCTGACAGATCAACAAGTTTTTACAAATTATGCAAATCAAATTGTATCTACCACCAAAATTTATATGTAAATTTTTATATAATATGCTTATGAAAGGCATTTATTTGTTTATCTGCTAATAGGCCTAATTTATTATAAATACAGCTGGCAAGATTTGAAAAATGTTTTTCTTTAAACTTTAAATATAAAATTTACAATAATGCCTATTTATACAGATGGTCCTCTTGGACCATCTTGGCACTTCTTAGTGACGTCATAAATTTTTTTTTAGATTCCTCACATCTAGGTGTTATCCGAAAATACCATGTATGTTCCGCGATTTTTCGTAGTTCAGAAGTTATGATTTTTTTAATGTGTATTTGCGAATTTTCTACCGGAGCAAATTAAAAAAACCATTATGTACTTGTTTAGTAATAAAAATTTTTTGTTTTTTTTCTGCAACATGATCGTATTGAATCACTCTTTCATACGTTATAATTAATTACACAACGTTCTTCATTTTAAGCTACCAAAAAAGGGTCGAAAATGAACATTTTAGGTTTGAGTTGGACAGAGTTAAATTTTCAAAATTCTCTTAACAATACAAAATGGAGATTCCATAGATCCCGAAACGTGCGTTCACCTTGTCGTGGTGGGGGGGGCTCAGTAGTGCCCGGCAATCCACCGGGCGCGAAGCCAAGAAACGCACAGGGAGGTGGCCCTCTTCGGTGGGCGGTGTACCATGCGGGTTGCTCCTGGTACTTCTCTGATAGCAGAGTGGACTTTGGAGCAACCCCATGATTGTTGTGGTCTGCTTCGGCAGACCTGCCGTCGGGGCGTCGTAGTTGAATGCGTAAGCGATCCTGCGACCCCCCATTAAGACGGGGGAAGGTTTTGTTGGGTTTTAGTGGGTAATACTGGCTTTAACGTTAAAAAAAAGGTTTCATAGATTCAAAGCACTTTTAAAAATTTCAGCAACTTATCAGCTTACCAAATAATAAAAAAGGTTTTTCCTAATATGCGATTTTACGATGTTATCGACTTCCGAACTTTGCTAGGTGAAAATGCGTTAAGAAAAAATTTGTCCGAAAAAAAAGATTTAGCTATAATTTTTTTCAACCTTATCACCAACATTAGCAAGGAATTGTCAAAAGCATTCAAATAATCTCAAATTGAACGATCCGTGACACATTTTTTGAAATTGCTTTTTTTTAGTAAAACAAAATTTTTGTCTCATTTTGTGTTATAAGTACCTATTATGTTGAAAGACAATTACAAAAACCCCGACTGCGTAAAATACGAACTGAAAATATGAAGTTGGAAACTATTACTTAATATGCAGTCGGAGACAAACGTGGAGTAAGACTCGCAGCAAATATGAAACACGTCTCTAAGTCGCGTTTTTTGTTTGCAGCTTTTTAACTTTTGCCAGTTTTTTTTTTATAGGACTAAGGGGGCAAACGGGCAGGAGGCTCACCTGATGGAAAGTGATCACCGCCGCCCATGGACATCTGCAACACCGCAGGGCTTGCAGATGCGTTGCCGGCCTTTAAGGAAAGAATACGCTCTCTTCTTGAAGGTGGCCAAGTCGTAGCGGTTCGGAAAGACCGCCGGCGATAGCTGGTTCCACAGAGTGGTTGTGCGGGGCAGAAAATGTCTTAAAAATCGCACTGTTGTGGAACGTTGGACATCGAGGTGGTGTGGATGGAATTTAATATTTTGGCGCGATGTCCGATGATGAAATTCAGCAGCCGGGATCAGTCCGAACAATTCCTCGGAACACTCCCCGTGATAAATGCGGTAGAAGATGCAGAGTGATCCAACATCTCTACGCAGAGCTAAAGGATCAAGCCGATCGGAGAGAGCTTGATCGTCGATAACTCGAGCCGCCCTACGTTGAATGCGGTCAAATGGAAGTAGCTGGTACTGGGGAGCTCCCGCCCAAAGATGAGAACAGTACTCCATGTGGGGCCGAATTTGCGCCTTATAAAGAATAAGACGCTGACGCGACGTGAAGTACTATCTCGCCTTGCTGAGCACACCAAGCTTCTTTGAGGCCAGTTTGGCCTTACCTTCCAATTGACCACGGAACTGGACGTTGCTCGAGATGTCGACGCCAAGTATTCCGATACTGGCTGTAGGAGACAGAGGAGTGTTCTCAAATTGAGGAGCTACGACAAATGGCGACTTTTTAGCGGTTAACGCGCAAACGTGTGTCTTTTTGGGGTTAAATTGGACTAAGTTTAGTCGACCCCACTCCGAGACTTTGGTTAACAAAGATTCGACTTCAGACACAAGTTTGTTCCGGCTCTCGTCGACGTATTCCCGAGAAACATTAGCGCGGCTAGTGTACAGGGCATCCACAGTGCTATCGTCTGCATAGCAATGAATGTTGCTGATTTGTAACATGTCATTGATATGCAGAAGAAACAAAGTAGGAGACAGTACGCAGCCTTGTGGAACACCAGCATTGACATATTTAGGATCAGAGCAAGCACCGTCGACAACGACCTTGATGCTCCGATCGGCCAAGAAGCTGGTGATCCAGTTGCAAAATTTCTCGGGGAGCCCATAGGAAGGTAGCTTCGAAAGAAGCGCTTTGTGCCATACCCGATCAAAGGCCTTCGCTATGTCCAGACTGGCTGCAAGCGCCTCCCCCTTAGTCTCAACTGCTTCTGCCCATCTATGTGTCAGGTAAACTAGAAGATCACCGGCTGAGCGAACTCGACGGAAGCCGTACTGGCGGTCGCTGATCAGCCGGTGCTCTTCTAGGTACCGCAGGAGCTGGCAGTTGATAATGAACTCCATTATCTTAGAGAACAAGGTGGTAATGGCTATAGGCCTGCAATTGGACGGATCCGAGCGGTTGCCCTTTTTTGGGATCGGATGCACTAAAGCGGCCTTCCAGGATTTTGGGACTATGCCTAATGAATAGGAGTACCGGAAAAGACGCGTTAAAACCGGTGCCAACTCCGGAGCACATGTCTTCAACACGATCGGAGAGATGCCATCGAACCCACTCGACTTATGAATGTCCAAGGAAAGAAGTGCTTTGCGAACTGCACTTTGCCGGAACTGAACTTCCGGCATCGTAGTATCACACCGCGGGATTGTCGGTGGTGAGTTTCCTTGGTCATTCAGAGTCGAATTGGACGCGAAGAGAGTACCCAGTAGTTCGGCTTTCTCCTTCGCGGCATGAGCCAGCGAGTCATTCTCTGTGTGCAAAGGTGGAAGAGAAGGCTTAGAGAAATTCCCTAAAACAGCTTTGGAGAGAGACCAAAACGCACGTGTTCCTGAAGGGAGAAGCCCCAATCTCTCGCCAATTCTGCCGATGTGCTTCGACTTCGCATTAGCAATACTATTTAAAACCTTAATTTTGATAGTAAAGGTTTCTCTAGAGGTTTGGAAGAAAAAATGATCATTACGCCCAAATTGGTGCTTATAATCCGTAAATTTGGATTTGTCCGTCGCGCCATAAAGACGGATTGTAAAACGCGACAATCATCAAAATCGGTTATGACGTTTAAACACCTGGAAACATAGGGTCAAACATACATACATACAGGTCAAGCACATAACTCTCTTTTTAGGATTCGCTGAAGTGGGGTACATTTCATTTGGCTTGAAATGATTGCTTATTCGGTATTTACTAATTTAAAAGTATTAAAAAAATATATTAAAATAATACTTCCTTATGTATAATAAAGTAAACATTAAAACTTACCAGCGAGAGGGGTCACCACATCTAAATTTCCATTGTAAATTGCAACTTTTAACTGTGTATGATTCAGCAATGACTCTACTAAGAGGTAAAATATAATTAAATGTACCTGTTGTATTAATGTTTTATTTAACAATAGTCAATAATTTATTTTAAACAATCTTTAATTATTATAAATTGTTATGATGATATAATGAAAATTAACTAATACATTAACCTATACTGCCTAATGAATATAAGCGAAGCATAGTAAAATACGCCTTTAAAAGAAAAGTAGCCTTCATTTCTCTACCATCTTACTAATATTATAAACCAGCGACTCACTCTCGCTTCGCTCGGGTTCGTCCCTAGCTTGCTTCCCCATACAAGCTTTCATCCGTATTCTCACCCCCATAAAGGATGATTTCCGGGATAAAAACTATTTCACTCAGTTACATTTTTTAACATGAAATTTTAAAAAATCTGTTTTAGTAAAAAAAATATTTTAATTTTCTTCTATACAAAGCTTGTCCTGACAATAACAAACACAAAAAAAAGAATTATCCAATTTGATGCATTCGATCGGAAGTTATGCTAAAGGTATAGTAAAGCATGCTTTACTATACGTTTTATCCCGGAAAAATGTACGATTCCCGTGGGATAGATTTATTTTTGTTTTTCTAGAGGCGAAGCGAGGGTGAGCCGCTAGTTTATAATATTGGCAACAAAATATAAAGGAATACTATTTATGTGCTATATACATATATACTCGTATGTTCGAAAATAAAAACTTACAGAATTTAGTAGATGGTATCAAGAAGCTGTTGTTTAAATTATTAAAAATTACATCCGATACGTAATTCCAATTCAAATTCTGATTTACTTCAGTCAATGTAGGCTTCACATATTTATTCACTTTGTATGTCAATTCTTGTAAGGCTTGGTCAGGGCTAACTTGATTTATGTTATTAAAGTTTATCTTCATGCCAGATTCTATGTTCAATATATTGAACATCGTGTCTTGCAGTACACTTGCGGTCACATATTCCTTTTTCTCTATCAAATAACCCGTCTTTTTAGCAATTCTTATAGTTTTGGTATAAGTAGGTAGATCAATGACACCCTAAACAATTTTAGGAGAACATCTGTTAAATATTTAGACATAGGTAGTAAAATCGTGAGATCTAAGATGCCGAAAAGAGAAAGTCATGACATGACTGATGAAGTAAACATTGTTTACTTTAGTAAATAAATACCTACTATAAATTATTTATATATTATAATATTCAGTCAATAAAATTGGTGATTTCATTTACATAACTAGCTTCTAAAATATCTACAGATAAGGCGTAAATGAGACAAGTCACCATTGTTTGTAAAAAAACCCATATAGGTACTATATTCCTACAAAGTTATATTTACTCGACTCTAGTATTATTATTTTGAATTTTACCTAAAAATGTTACAATCTAGAATCATAGGAATCTGGGCTATAATACCATATCATATAGGAATCCTGGTTGTACTAAAGTGCTGTGTTTTGGATCAACCCATCCACTACCGATACCAATTCCTTTAAAGTTCATTTTTAAACGCTTATTTCTTATAGCCTGAAATGAATTACGTCATTTTTTATAAATATATTACGAAATCTAGCTTTAAAGTTAGATGTATGATTAAGATATAAGTGTATGACCGTATTTACTCTACATATTTTTTAAACAAATACATTTTTTAACTACATATATGTTTTATGTAATTTAATTTAATGTACTATCTAACTTACCGCATGTAAATAATATCCCAATCTTGGACATAATTTTCCTCCATAGCTTTGACCAAAGAGATACGTTGGTGTGTTCCTAAATTCTTTGTTTGTCCTGAAGAAAGCTTTAATTATCCTTAGAAGATCTTTTGCTAAAATAAAATAATTATTTAAAGAAGATGCATAATATTATTACATTGCAAATTTTCTTTCTGTTTTCCTAATATAAGTGCTGTAATTATGAATTCTCACGTATCCATTTTTTGCTATTGTACAAATGTTTGTTACAATAGACTACCTTGAGGTTATTAACAAGCCAAAATATTTGATAGGCAAAAAATACATCATAATTATGCAAATTAAATTATGTACATGTGCATGATTATTCGTTGACTTTACTAATAGGCCGAGAGCTGGCGACGAATTTTGGGAAGGTCCTTTTGGCTAGTTGAAATTGTGAAAAAATATAACTTTGTCAATTATTGGCGAGCCCAGTCCCGCGAGTCTGGGATAGCGCTTGCGGTTATTTCGTTACTGCGCAGTATTTAGCATTTGCAAAAAAATATCCAAAAAAAAATATTTTTGGCAAATTGTTTTTTTTAAATCTTTTAATTTAGTTTTTATATTATTTAAAAAAAAGAACCCTAGACGTTTTTGTCGGTTATAAAGTACATATTACCAGACCTCTCCAAACATATTTTATTAAAATTCCCAAAAACTTTTGGCAATCTGAAATTTCACAAATCACGTATTTATTGAGTAATTTTCAACAATATAACTTATAATATAATAATATAACTAATGTAATTCACAAAATTCGTCGCCAGCTCTCTGAATATAAGCTAAGTTAAACGTGAGCTTGTATTGTGCGCTTATAATATGATAGTAATCTCTTCATCTCTCACTCACTCACTCTTCTCTCTCACTCTTCATAAAAATGCATTTATCATTTTATCTTTTTGGTAATAACAAAATGATATTGAAACTTTATTTTTATGGTGAACTGTACCTACCTGTCTATTCTATATGGTTTAAAACTTTTGCTATCTCCATATTTACGAGTAAGTAATAATTGATCTTTTTTTAGAGCATAAGTAACGTAATGAAATCAAATGCCCTGTAAGTGCCTAAAATATTTTATAAAAAACAAGGTTATATTATAATGTATTTGTAAAACCTTTAAAAGATTGCGTATCCCACTTTGGGAAACCTTGATACAAGAATTATCCAATCGAGATAGATTAAAAAATAACCTAAATATCCCTATATAGTAAAACCCTATACATAAATGGACAAGTAATTTCGTTAACTTACCTGCATCTTTATCTGTTTTAACGTGTAATGATTTGTTAACAGCATAGCTAAAACCAGTCCCGACTGGGTGATCTATCAACAATAGATTATGCCCTTTTACCTAGAGAAAAAAGAATTTATTAGGATAATAAAATTCTTCAATAACTCTCTACTGTATAATTAACTGTATCCATACTAATATTATAAACGTGAAAGTGTGTTTGTTTGTCCTTCTTTCACGTCCAAACGGAGTGATGGATTGGATTTCGAAATTCATCCTATAAGGGGATAAAAGTTTGTATGAAACGTACCTTTTTAGAGTTTTTTGTAGTTTTAGTGCGAGCGGATCCGCGGGTTTTTTAAATTAGATAAATCTATAAAAATATACCTATACATAAATGTGAAAGTTTGTTACGTTTGCTTTTATTATGCTTAGTTAGGCCTATATTAAAACAAACTTCCTAACATGAGATTCCTTTTGGAAATTATTTCTTGCAAAATATAACCTAGAAACGCGGTTCGTTGATAATCGAGTTTTTTATAGACCAGTGGATATTATAAATATTTAGTAAATAAACTTACCCACCCATGTATGATTCCGAGGTTTCATATCCATAGTAAGGGGTCCGATTTCAGCAAAATTAGCTATACCAGTAGCCGCGAGACCAGGACCGCCCTGTATCCATATTATTAATGGTTTCTTTTCAGCCTCGTAAACAGTACCATCAGCAAAATAAAACCAATAAAAAAGAAATGCGCCAGGACGCACCTCTACATATTTGTGAACACTCTTCCATTGTTTTTGACCGAGAGCTTCAAGATAAGGATTAGATTCTAAAATTAAGAGGAATCTGTAAAAACTTTACTTACAAATTGCTTTAAAAATATATTTTCTTTTTTTAATATCAAAAAACGATAAAATACCATTGGACATTAATGAAAATGTGTTTGTAGAATAAAAATGATCGATTCGCAATACTTACCTTTGCCCTTTATTAAGTTGCAAACCAACAGTGAAGTGAGACCATATATTAAAACTAAATTCATTTTATATTGAGTTCACTTTACACAAGTCACGAACAACACAATAACCGAATTCACATGCGTGCATTGGAATCGCTACATATCGTTTAACCGCATATCTAGTAAACACCATGTGGTGATATCATCGCACTCTTTAATTAAATGACTAAATTAGATAAATGAACGAAAAACATATTCATCCAGAAGCTCATTAAACTGATGCCTGTCACGCGGTTCCCATTAAAGGATAATATGTAGGTAGGATATCCGATCCACTAATATATGTACTCGTTCGTTCGTCGTACGTTTTAGTTAACCGTATTAAGAATTCCAGGCAATTTATCTCTGCTTCTATCATTTTTATCACTTTTAAAATGATCAGAATTTACAATAGTACACATAAAGGTGCGTACCTTGCATTGCAGACACCAACTACCAAGGCTATGGCATCTAGGTGGAGTACTTGTGACGACACAAGGAAACAAAAGATCTGTACTCCTTTCACACGATCTTGTAGGTGTAATGGCAAAATAAAATGCTTTTAAATTATGTAAAAAGTTTTTTATTAATGTAATAAATCAAGAAAAGAACTCAATATTCCATTACTATTCAATTTCCTTCCTCGATTAGGTTTTTGGATGTGGGAATTTGTTTGTGCGTGTGCGTGATCGTGTGTTGCACTCGCATGTACATGATTATGCTTTATGTTACGATTTTTATTTCTAGAGGAATCACTTATCGGTTTTATCATTGCTTGAGGTAAACCGACAATATGGCCACTAGGGCCTCCTACTATGCCCGGTCGATACACAATGTTTTGTTGGTCACCACCAGCTTCATTTACAGGTTTTAAGTTATCTGAAATAATATAATCATATACAGTAGGTGCATGTACTATAATAGAATTCATATTATGCCTGCGGTTGAAAATTTCATGGAACGCTTATCTTATTATTTTAAATTGTTGGTTGCATTAGATTGTTAAGCATGCATAAAAATATTATTTCATAAAGATACAGAATATAAGTATCGGTTTAAAAGAAATAGGTATATAATTGTTTTTGTATAAGAAAATAATATAATTTGAAAATGTACCTATTTACCTAGATGTATGAATAATACCTTGAAAACTTTAGCTTTAGTTCCGTAGTTATTAATAAGTCTATACTATGACCTGGCCATTAGAACGTTCACAACTCACGATAACCTTTTATAATGTCATTATCTTTACCCGCTTTACTGTTCTTATGCTAGGTATGTCAATAAAAGTATACAATATGTCAATATAAGTTGTCTCCCTTACTAGCTTACTTTAAAACGAAGCTTTTGCGTTTATAAAAATACCAACAAAACCCGCGGCTTCGCTTGCGCTAAGACTACAAAAAAATCTTAAAAAAGGTAATTTCATACAAACTTTCATCCCCTATTTTACCTCCTTATAGCATGAATTTCAAAAAATGCTAAAACACGTATTTATTTAATTTTATTGAAGAGCATTAATACCAAGTTTTAAGTAATTCTGATCATAAATATTTTTTCGAATTGTATTGTGACGTGTTTTCCCGTAGGAATTAGATAATCTCACATGGTAAAAAGTAGCCTATGTCACTCACCAGCCTTCCAAATATCTCCAGACAAAAAATCAGGCCAACCCATCACTCCGTTTCGACGTGAAAGAAAGACAAACAAACAAACACACTTTGACATTTATAATATTAGTGTGGATTGCGATTAATCTTATATTAATAGTTATAAGCCTTACTCGTGGGTTCTTGTGGCTTTGGTGGTGTATAAAAGTTACTTCCAAAGTATCCTCCCGCTGGTGGACGAGTTGGTATATAATGAGGTGGTGTTTGTACTGGAGTGGGTGTTGGTTTTATACCGTTGGCATACAGTTGTTGTAGCCAACTGAAGAAAAAACGGTTGCTTTCTAGTCCTTGCCTTCTCAATGACTGTGAAGTGACTAAAAACATTATGATAAGTTACTTCGTTATGCTCTCCTAAAAGGACTTTAACTATAAAATCTTATAAATATAAATAAAGTTCTTTGAAAAGAATTTATTATTAACGATTAAATTCTAATGCAATTTTTTACTATATTTATAGTCATGTATAAAAATATTAAGTTCAGTCACTTTTTAACCGACATCCAAAAAGGAGGAGGTTCTCAATTTGTCGGAAGCTTTTTTTATGTATGTTCACCGATTACTCGAAGACGCCTGAATCGATTTGATTCTTTTTTTATATTTTGTTTCACAGGCTTCCTAGGTGGTCCCATATAAATTTAATCAAAATCGGTTGAGCGGTTTTTAAAAAAATCAACAATAAATTGTTTAATCGAATATGTTATTAAAAAACTTTCTTCTTACAAATTACCTGCCTATTACGTCTGCGCTAAAAATGGAAAAATAAACATTTAAAAAATAACCGACTTCCAGGCACTAAAATGTAAAAAATAACTAAACCAGAAACTAAACGATACCAGCCCACAATATTTTATTGTATTTTACGTATCGAAATAGGTATATTAGATTTACTTTGCATCGGCTGGTAATTATTGCTGTTAAAATGGAAGCACGACCATACTTCAGCTATTCCAAATCAAAGATTAGTTATGTATACACCATTGTGTTATTATTTTATATAAAATATATGACGATAAATATAAAATTATTAAATATTTATTTTCTTAAATATACCTACTGTGGAATTCAAGATAATAAATAATACTTACTTGAACTCAAATCATTTTCATCATAATCTTCTATTTCCCCACAATCATTAGGATCATCAGATTGTGGCTCCTCTTGAAGACTGCTTGGCGGATGGTGTGTATTACCTGGTGCTAATAAATCATAATATGCGCCAAAAGTTCTTAGATTATTATTTTCATATCGCGGTACTCTTTTATGGGGAGCTATTTTGTTTGTTGGGCACAAAGGATTCACTGTCACCGTTTCTATTCTCACAACAGAATCTATGACCTGAAGATACATAATAATATTTATATAATTGACACTAAAAATGTAAAAAATTGCTTAGCAAATTAAAAAAAAATACGTACTACGATTAATCCTATAATAAATAACTTTAAACTGTCCAACATTTTCGATCAATATGCGTGTGTAAATATTTAAGAAAAATATTTAAGATTTTATCAACAATAAGGATTACTTCGTGCCTAAGCTCTACTGGTGTCTGAACGGTAGGTAAGTTATAAGGTATCTGTTACTAAAGTTCTCCCACGCGACCGAAATGAATGTTTAAATTTTTATGCAACGACCGCTCCTTATGAGAACTGACCATATGCAAGTTAACACCTCCAGGTAAACTAAGAAATTAATTAAATTTGTAAGAAATCTATTGTTAACTGTAACGCCGGAGTGTCCGCGGTCGTAGAGGGATTTAATTATAAGTCATCATAAATAATATTTTTAGATATCTATAATCTACTCAATAATCTACGAATGCATATTTATTAAATATTATAATAAATTAATTTCTTATTTAATATATGTTATAATAAATAATTGATAGATGCTATCGTTAAGATCTCTATTTAATTTAACTAAAAGAATTCAACTGGTTTAACTATTAAATTAATAAAAATAATAATTATTTAGCTATTCATACTACCGTTTTACACACCTGATCACGATGAAAATAAGATATTTATTATAATTTTTATATTTGGCATTGAACCATGGGGTCAGACATATTATACCTACTACTTTTCATTTCCGTCCTCTTACCACGCGAACGGGGCCGCGGGCAAAATCTAGTTATATTATAAAACACTAATTAATTATTATCGGTAATTTTTGGTATATAAAATGAGAGAAAAATCTTTTATTGTATAATTTATTTCTGGAATAGATCATAAAAAAATACGCCCCATGAGTTGTTTTGTTCTGCGTACCGAATATGATTTTTTTGTTGATTTGTATAGACTCATATGCTCAAGAAAGATTATTAAATTGAAATTTATTTATTTTTAAGTTTTGAATTTGGTTAATTCGATCATTGATTTTTGACTAATAGGACCATACAAAACATAATGGTATACACCTATTGGCAGTATCTTGCAGAATCAGAATTGAAGAGTTCGAACCCCAACAACATACATTTAAAAATATTTATAAAACTTAACTTATAAAATGTATAGCATAAGGGTCACTTAAGCAGTGCAGAATCTGTACTATATATTTTTAACTGCACTGACAGGTATGCCCCTCATAGACACCACGCATGTGCTAATAGTAAATACCTGATGATGATGATGATGTTCTCCTAGCCGATTTCGGCTACGGCGGCCAATCTCATTGAGATTAGCCAACTGCGCAGGAGATATTATAGTGCTCAAGTGTATGCGCAGACAACTCCGGGCTGTTACTGAGACTTACTATAGAGAAAGACTCAATAACTAAACTTGGCCCGACCCGGAACTCGAACCCAGGACCTCCGAGTGTGCAGCCGTACATGCTAGCCACTACACCACCGAGGCAGTAGTAGTATAAGAGCAATAGCTCTTATTGAGAAAGAAGACTTTTATGCTGCTATAATATGGATGCCTTATAGACAATGTCATGGGACTTAAATGAGGTAACGTCTTCAAATTTAAAGGACTTAAATCATTAAAGAAGTTGCAAAATTTTATACCTAATTAATGTTTATTACATTAAGATTTATATGATTTTATAGGCGGATTACTAGAATAAAGTCCTTGAATAATATATCTGTTTCCAAAATCTTAACTTAAATAATTTTCCCGTATCACGATGAACTCCGAAACAGCTTGTCTTAACATATTTTATTAAATTTTTGATTTGTTTCATCTTAAAAAATTGGGTAATTTTTATCTCGATTATTTTCTTTTATTATTGTAAAATAAACGATATTCACAGCCGGAGAAGGATTCCGAAGAAAGAACCTGAGAAACGGCTAAACTAAGCTACAAATTGTACCACCAAGCTAAAGAAAAAAAAATAAGTGCCCTAAGCTCTTTATAAATCTGCTAGTCGGAATATAAAATCAAATGGCATACATACAGTTGGTAAAAGCTAGACCTGTCAATAGACTAGAAAAGAAAAATATAAGAGCCATAATTTTCAAGTTATTATTTTATGCGTTATTATGAATGGTTTTCTTTAATTACTTTAATACCTACTAAAGTGGGTTGACCATGGAAGGCCACCTTAACAAATAAATAGATAAAATTCTTTTATTTATTGGATAAATGAAACAAACAAATTATTAAGTAACACTTTGTTCTATTATGTAACTTATAAAACATTTTATTTTCTTGCAGAGTTAATGATTACTTATTTATTAAATTTAAGTTTTATTGAATTCTTCCAAAGTGGCCTTGCAAGAAACAGGGCTCCATACAAGGCCGATAAAACTCAATGTAAGTGTAAAACCTAAGAATGTGGTTTTTGGTCATCTGAACGCGGGCGGAGCCGTGGGCAATGCTAGCATTTTATAATCGGAAACATGGAAACTACACGAAAATTGTATATTTTATTATATTCTTTATTGCACTTACAATATGATACAGAAAAAAATAACACAAGTAAATATAGTTCACAAAGGTGGACTTATCTCTAAAAGAGATCTCTTCCAGTCAACCCCTGGTTTTGGAAGAAGATGTGTGAAGAAAGATATGAATAGATGGGCTCTCATGAATGGTTTTGGACAGTTGCTTCCATAGTACTGCGGCATGAACAGTAAAAGATTTTTTTTGAAATTTAGTTATTTAAACGTAGACTAAGATTTTTATATACGTAGGTATCTTGTTTTTTTAGTCTATTGCATCCCACGTAAACTCCGTTGACTTCGGTGACGTAAATTGTCACCATTAAGTCACAACACAATGAAGTAAGAATACATTCATGTTGAAGTAACTTTATGGAAGACTAGCTGTGGCTTACGGTTTCACCCGCGTTAACTTTGTTTAATTATAAATATCAGTTTTACAAAAACTTATGGAAGTCTGCCCGATTTATTAATATTTATGATTACTGCTCTGCTCCCTTGGGTAGTAGCATTACGATATATATCCTATAGCCTTCCACAATAAACGGGCTATGAGCTATCTAATGCAAAAAGAAATTTTCAAATCGGATTAGTAAAGGAGAAATTTTTCAAATTGGTATAGAACGAACGAACGAACGAACGAACGAACGAACAAACAAACAAACAAACAAACAAACAAACAAACAAACAAACTCTGCCTCTTTATAATATTAGTAGGTAGGTATAGATTCCAAATTGGACAAGCAACATTTTTCATGTTTGACTTGTAAAATATGTACTAGGAAAATAAAACTTCAACGTAATAATATTTACGAGTATATTATGAGTATGATATGAGATATGATTACGACGATACAATGCGTTTGCGAAATACATTGATTTTACACCATCGTCACAACAGTTGGTTCTTTAAATTTTTCCGTTTATGTTGGTAGTTATATTTCAAATGACAGGTATAAAATGGAAATCATTTTTTTAAATTAGAGAAATCTATAAAAATATACCTATACATAAATGTGAAAGTTTGTGACGTTTGCTTTTATTATGCTTAGTTAGTAGGCCTATATTATAACATAAACTTTCTAACATGAGATTCCTTTTGGAAATTATTTCTTGCAAAATATAACCTAGAAACGCGGTTCGTTGATAATCGAGTTTTTTATAGACCAGTGGATATTATAAATATTTAGTAAATAAACTTACCCACCCATGTATGGTTCCGAGGTTTCATATCCATAGTAAGGGGTCCGATTTCAGCAAAATTAGCTATAGCAGTAGCCGCGAGACCAGGACCGCCCTGTATTATATTCTTTATTGCACTTAAAATATGCTACAGAAAAAAAAATAACAAAGTAAACATAGTTCACAAAGGTGGACTTATCTCTAAAAGAGATCTCTTCCAGTCAACCCCTGGTTGTGGAAGAAGATGTCAGCGGGCAATATAGTGCAAAAAAAAACTAAATATATACTAGAAATAAAGGTAATAATAACCACTTATACATACATACATATATACATATATTATATATAAAAATATATAATACTATACATATATAATACCTAATGTAAAGACTACTTATACATATATACATATACATAGTTAATATATAAAATATGAAAATAGAGAAAGGTACTGATTGATACTGTCTACATTTGTGATAATAAATAATTTTTTAGTTTACATTTAAAGACATGACCCATCTGGGTTCTCATGGATGGTTTTAGGCAGTTGGTTCCATAGTAATGCGGCATGGACAGAAAAAGATTTTTTTTGGAATTTAGTATTGCTCCTAGGAATGTCGAGCATAGAAGTACTGCAAGATCTTCTGGAACGTGTAGGGATTGGTAGAAAGTTAAAACGGGAACGAAGGTAAGGAGGGAAATTTTGATTTTTAAGGATATTATAAAGGAATGATAGGGTGTGCATATTACGGCGAAGACGAATGGGGAGCCACTCAACTTGAGCACGGAAGTCAGAGATGTGGTCATATTTCCGCAAGCCAAAGATAAAACGTATGGCGAGATTCTGAAGACGCTCCAGTTTATTAAGTAGCTCCTCTGTCACATCCAGGAAGCAGACGTCGACGTAGTCGAGAATGGGTAATAGAATGGATTGCGCTAGCATTATTTTGGTGAATGGGAGAAAGTATTGGAGACGCTTGAGAGAATGAAAGGAAAAATGCATACGTTTACTTAGTTCGTTAATATGAGGTGCCCAAGACATGTTACAATCAATGATGAGACCTAAATTTCTCACCTTATCCGAGTAATGTATAGGGATTCCAGAGTACAGGATATCAGGTACTAAGGTCCAGTCAATCCTACTTCGTATTCTGCTGCTACCAATAATTATAGATTGCGATTTTTTGGGGTTTACTAATAGACCGAAAGATTCAGCCCAGCTTTGGATCGCAGCTAAATCATTGTTCAAAACTGTAACAGCCTCAGGCAACTCAATTAAATTACAATGTCGGTATATCTGCAAGTCATCTGCATACAAATGGTAGGGAGAAGAAATGACATGTGAGATATTATTAATGAAAATAGAAAAAAGTAGTGGGGAAAGTACGC